GGCTGTGTGTGTGTGTGTGTCGATGATGAAGGTGTATTCTGGATCAAGTTGGTGATTCGACTTCTTAAATCAAGGAAATCAGATACAAGCTTATTGATTCATCCTTTGATCAATGGCAACTTGATCAGACATAAAAATTCTTCCTCCACAGCTAACACTCGCAGCTAAGGACACAAGCTAAAAAAAATTTGTTATTGATGTAGCGTGTTTAAACCGCATCATAATTTCCCCTCTAAAAGCTAACAGAACCAGCTAACTCTAGTCTGTATGTTGGTGTTGGTCAACTCTAATGGTCAGCTAAAATTATGCAACGAGGCGCCTTGCTACAATCTCATGAACCTTCAACTATTAATTAAAGGGGATTGGGTCGACAGTTCATCAGCATCGACTCCGTCTGTCTGTGTGTGTCTGTCTGTCTGTCTGTCTCCCAATAAATATATGACGTATTGTATTTCCCGTAAGGCGATTTTGGGATTGGATAAGGGGTTTAATAATTGAGTTAAAGGGTTGTAAGGTTGGACAAGAGGTATTGTTCATACTCTAAGTGGATTAAGGGGCTGGATAAGGGAATCTCTATTTACGTTAAGGGGCTATAAAGTTGGATAATTGATCTTTACATTTACCCCCAAGACAGTTTTAACTTAGTTAAGGGGGATACAGGTTTGGATAATACGTGTTTTTACTTATCTTATACAAAAATCTCAAATATAAACCTGAAACTCTTATTGTATTAATTCCTTGTTGGATAATGAAGTGTGTGTGTGTGTGTGTGTGTGTGTGTGTGTGTGTGTGTGTGTGTGTGTGTGTGTGTTTGATTTTGTTTGTTTGTTTTTTCTTTGTTTAAGACATCATTATGGTACTGTACTGTGAATGAGGAACTGAACGCTTTAGTATGAACAAGTCGGGGAGAATGGTGGTGAATGTGTTTTGTTACGGCAGCTTTAGTGTGTGTGTGTGTGTGTCACGATTATAAACGAACTGGAGAAAAGGTAAAGAGATTCGGAAGCAGATATTGATCCCATGAGAAATATGGAATCACCTCTGTTAGTTCTGGAGGCTGACTTTACGATTCCCGATTTATTGCCATCCTCTTTTGACCTCTTAAATGCAAGTCGTAAACAGCTTTCGATGAGGGATTTAAAAGAGTTATCCCAAGTGTTTCTCCGTTTTCTGTATGTAAAGATATATAACTCAAGAATGGTCGGCAGCGTCTCTTAAGGGAATACTTGACAAAACTGATGTGTCTGTGTAGTTTGGTTGTAATATTCCTCGAGAATATATTGCATAAAACCGACTTGATCCATTGTACGATATCGTTCGTTCTTTATTTCTTCGTTTAAGTTCGAGAAATTGTCTGCAATATTGCGATTTTCATATTGTTCTAAAAAAAAAGACATATGCTCCGACTTTGATTGATAAACACACGATGGTGTTGACAGTTTTCAAATATAGTTCAGCTATTACCTACACACCTACACTCTTCCATCAATATTGAGACTTACTTTGAAAGCCGTAAGAAAAAAGTAACAGCTAAGAAATTTTAGTATATTTCATCTACAATAAAATTTGATGAGAAAATGTATTTACTGCACACATTCCTCTTAATAAGACAGCATTTTTTGTCCATTTCCATAATTCGGAGTTAAAATTGCTTATGATTTATGATTCCTTGACTGTTGGAGTTGTTTATAATATTAGCGGGTCTAGTATTATAAAACCCAACATGTAAACGTAAATCAAAACTAAACTCCAGAGAAACTGTCAACAGTATCGACCACCATCACCGAGACGGGCAGCTGTGGCAACAAAACTCTACGGTCTCTGCCCTTCGCGTTTAACTATCTTTGAAATATTTGTTCCTTGTGTAGCCGATGCATACAACACAGAACTACGGTGTGTGTGCATGTGCAATAATAATAATAATAATAATAATAATAATAATAATAATAATAATAATAATAATAATAACAATAATAATAATAATAATAATAATAGTAGAAAAAATAAATAAAAAAGGTAGCTGTGGTTGAATGTGGGTGCGCCAAGTCCGTAGACTTGCTAGTGATAGTAGTAATAGTAGTGGTTATAAGGAAGCCAGTCTTGTAAGCTGTCTTGTCAGTTGTCAGTTGGAGTTAACAAGATCCTTCTCACGATACAGCACGGTCACAGTGGACACAGATTTCACACCCATCACGTGGTATTGGTAGGTTCACCCAGCTCTGGTAGGTCCGTCCAGCTCTGGTAGGTCCACCCAGCTCTGGTAGGTCCACCCAGCTCTGGTAGGTCCACCCAGCTCTGGTAGGTCCACCCAGCTCTGGTAGGTCCACCCAGCCTGGTAGGTAGGTCCGTCCAGCCTGGTAGGTCCACCCAGCTCTGGTAGGGTCCACCAGCTCTGGTAGGTTCACCCAGCCTGGTAGGTCCACCCAGTTCTGGTAGGTCCACCCAGCTCTGATAGGTCCACCCAGCTCTGGTAGGTCCGTCCAGCTCTGGTAGGTCCACCCAGCTCTGGTAGGTCCACCCAGCTCTGGTAGGTCTACCCAGCTCTGGTAGGTCCACCCAGCTCTGGTAAGTCTGCATCGGCCGTGACCACTGTCCACTGAGCATTGACTTGTCAGGAATTTCCACTGTCCAACACTTGTTTCCAATCAGCTGGACATTATTGTATAAACTTACCAAACTTACTCGTAGTGTTCCACAGGTTTAGATTTCGAATTCCTTGAAAAAAAGAGGAAATCGAATGTGAATCGGAAGAAGCAAAATGTGGTGTGTATAGGCAGGAGAGGTCGGGGGCATAGGCTGAATGGGTCAGGACAGGATGGAGTGGGTCAGAGGGGGCGGAGTGGGTCAGTGGGAGACGGAGCAGAGTGGGTCAGAGGGGGACGAGGTGGTGGGAGGGGGTGGGGGGCTTGGGGGAGGGTGGCTGTGAAATATTACTAGACAGTGAAAAATTGGCGAGGGTTCAGAATATCAATACTGGGGAAAACTTTTATAGAAGATGGATGAAAGGACTCCGAGGTATCGAAGTGAGTTCTGAAAGGCTGGTAGTTGTATTTTACGAAAGTGATCATGGAGAAGAATGTGAGGCTACAGGTGTATGGGGAGAAGAATGTGAGACTACAAGTGTATGGGGAGAAGAATGTGAGGCTACAGGTGTATGGGGAGAAGAATGTGAGGCTACAGGTGTATGGGGAGAAGAATGTGAGGCTACAGGTGTATGGGGAGAAGAATGTGAGGCTACAGGTGTATGGGGAGAAGAATGTGAGGCAACTGGTGCATGGGGAGAAGAATGTGAGCCTACAGGTGAAGGAACTTACAATGATATATTACTACTACTACCACAACAATCACTTTAACCATCATCAACCACCACAATCACCACCACCACTAGCCACCACTAACCACCTACCACCACTAACCACCTACCACCACTAACCACCACTAACCACCTACCACCACACTAAGTACAGTCTGCAATGTTTCTCTTTAAGGTCTACCGTTCACTGACAGCATTAACCTTGCAATATTTCCCATCGATCGATTCCTCTCGTCATTTTTTGTCCTTTTTACTCTTTTTCTCTTTTATTTCTTCCTTTGTGTGTGTGTGTCTGTGTCAGCCTCACTTTATATTCTATCTCTTTGGTGTCAATTGTTGTGTGTGTGTGTCTCATGTCAGTTTGTATCTCTCACTTAAGGCAGCATCTTCGTATCTCTTATTTGTCAGCTTCACTTCATATATTTCCTTTCTTCATTTTATCTTTTTTTTTCGTTTATTCCATTCAATTGTTATTTTTTTTTATCCCAATATAATTTTCATCTCTCTCTCTCTCTCTCTCTCTCTCTCTCTCTCTCTGCACTGCTGACATATTTATCATCCCTCTATATTGGTTGTGTGGTGGTGATGTGGTAGTGATGGTTATGTATTTACTGCAATATTATTATTATGACAGGGTACTACGATTATTATTACTGTTATCATCACCATTATTATTATTATTATTATTATTATATTACAGTTGTTGTTTTTATTGACCAATCTTTACATGCCTACCACAGACAACATTGTGTTTTATCGCCATCAACATCTTGGTTATATATTATCTTCTTTCCTTATATATGGAACTTTCTGTTGAAGTAATTTACCATCGTATGAAGTTTTAATGTTTGTTAGTTCCGCCCTATGAAGCAAGTTGGCCCCTGATGTACGAGAGAGTGGGAGGTCCTCAACTGAATTATGAAGATATTTAATCTATATTTTTTAGTAATATTATATAAAAGTCTTTGTAGTTCGATTTTAGGGATCACCTGAAGATTAGACACCCCCGTTTATATTACTTTAACTTAACCTGACTAACCTAACCTAACCTAACCTAACCTAACCTAACTTAACCTAACCTAACCTGACTAACCTAACCTAACTCCCCCAGTAGCATTAGTGTGATTAATCTTTAGGTCAAATAAATCTGGTTTTCTAATCTACAGGCAATCCGAGTTTAGTGAATTCAGTGAACTAGATTATCAGTCAATGAAATATGAAAGAAATATTTTTTTTTATGTATTATTAATAATAACAGTAGGCGCCATCTCTTAAGTTAGGGGTTTCTGTTACATAGTTGTCATAAAATACTTAATTGATTCACTAGAAGTAATTTTAATGTTCAAAAATTAGTAAAAATATTGCAGTATTAAACTTAACATGTATCTGTATTTTACTTAATTGTGCTTTAACCCAACAATAAAGTTTTCCTCAAGTGTTCGGTAATAATTATGATGTACCGACACAGGAGGATTTCTCGCCCCGCTCCAATACACCAGTTGTCTTCCCCACACCCCGTGTAAAGGTGACACTCACTGTTCCCTCACCTGATGTGTGTTATATCTTGTATCTCCACCTTAACCATCATGGTGGTGCAACAGTCTCCTCATTACTGTACATGGGTTGGTCTCCCTCCTTGAGTGTCAGGTGTAGATGGTTCCTACCTGAGTGTGTTGTTCCTCCACAGGGTAGTAAATGAAACGTGGCCTCACCGGCCGCAGGTGCTCGAGGTGGAGGTGTACCACTCCCGGACGCTCCTTCACTCAGCCGTCCACCTGTACGCTGAGAGTGCCAATGGGCGACACCTGGTGGCTGTGTCACACACCATCGACAACACCACCATCCCCACACCCCAGGACCTTGCCTACACCAACGAGGTGGGTCTTGCCTATTGACCTTTGACCCAACTGCTTTCTAGGAATGTGTGTGTGCGCGCGTGTGTGTGCGCGCGTGTGCGTGTGTGTGAGACTAAAGAGTTTGCTTTTAAATAAGTAGATAATGATAATAAACACCAAGCATCAAATAATTCACCTCACCATAAATTATAATAGTTATTCTACCAAATGATAGGATGTCAGGAAGTCATTAGTCAGCCACACGGTCTGGAGAGCAGGAGAGGCTGAAGCTGTAACGGTGCTGACATTTCAAGCGACCTACCTGAGTCCAGCTAATGAGTTGAGGCAGCAGGAGACATGAGTCAGGTGTGGCTGATGAAGCACCCCTCCACCACCAGACCTCCGAGTTAACGCTTCCTCGTGTTATCATGTGTTAAGTGTAGAGAGTTTTATATTAATCCTTCTTCAGGTTCTTCATGACTGGCACCATGTTATCAGCATCTCACAGAATTTGGTTTTTCAGGGAGGCCACAACTTCAGGACGATATCGCTGAACCCGCGTCGAGGAGAGCGAGGTATGGTAATCAAGACACACGAAGGAGACTGGGCGCTGGTGACCGCCGAGTGGGCGGGGCTGTGTAATGGCGTGCCTGCGGGTGAGTCACCTGTGCTGTCTTTGTTCCTCTTCAGCAGATCTTTCCTAGCAAAAAGTAATATATTCTCAAACTTGCATAGAGCACGCAGTCTGGTTGTGTCTATAGATATTAGTAAATATTTAGTCCCTCTTGCGTACACAACAGCGAAACTCTTAACTTGACACTGTGAGAAACAAACATCTTTAATTGATTTGCCAGTTATCTACTAAATCAACGATATGATTTACAGCTCATGGTTACTTCTAGATTTGTTTATCTATAGGTTGCTAACTAGAAGCTTGCAGCTGAGAGCTAGGGTCAATTTGTATCAATGAAGCTGATTGGTTGGTTGACAGATACCCAAAGAATCGCTACAGTTCTTCAGTATTTAATCTATCTTATTTACATCATAATATTTTAAGGGAAAAAGTCTTTTTTGTTGATCTCTGAGTCAAGTCACGGGGCAAGGAAGAGTTTGCGTCCCAGAATTTGTTCATCATGTTAGTGTTTTCTTTATGTTACAGGTACAGTACTGTATTTGTATTAACAGGGCATTTCACATGCTAATTTTATCTTCCCCCAATGCAGAAATTATCAAAGATCAACACAGAATAGTTATTATCCTTTAGAATATCAGAATATACATATAACAGATTACATACCGAAGAACTGTAGTCATTATTTAGGTATCGCATCAACAAACTCACCCTATGCCTCAGTTGTAACCCTCGAGTGAACTGACTAGCATAGTTCAAGTCTTTGTATTCTTAACTAGATGCCTTACTCCAGTTGATACTAGAGCCTGATCCACAGGGCAGCAAAGGCTTGATCATAAGCTCATCCATCCATCTTCACCACATTCTTCGACCTCAATAGGAGGGAATTAGATGCAAAGGTTGTCAAATTACAACACCAATCTGCCATGTTGCACCCAACCCCCCAGCTGACCATAACAGAGATAAAATGTCTCTCTATAAGTTCTTACTTTTATTGTTGAGCAACTTGTCTACCCCGTATTGTAAAACACTTCTTTGGTAGTGACTGGCGATAACTGCAGTTCCAGGGATTATGTTTTATGATAATACTGTACAATAAGTACTGGTATTTTGTGCCGTACATTGTTTCAGTTGTGTATTTGTACTGTACCTTGTGACCCGATTATAAATAGCTGGTGAGTTGGCTATTGACTTATATTCCATAAGTGTGAGTTACCTCTGCAATATATTCTGTACCACTATAGACTTCCTCGTAGCCTAATAAGTTGCCTGTAAATGAATGTAGAGACAAGTTCCCCATTTATTGTGACTGTTTCTTTTGTGTCTAATTGATTCAATAGTCAGAGGCTTTTTTGCCCTGTTACCAGTTCTATGCTGTAGTATTTATCACAGACTGTAGATTTATAATATCCCTATCAACTCTCTCTCAGATAATACTGTATATAGACTGAGTCTTGCATAACCTTATAATACCTGTATGCAAATAAACATATTGTACATCCACATGTGTATACATTTACTTATATGCATATACAGTACACATTTACTAACATATGCACAAACAGACACACATATTCACATGCAAATGCTTACACACATACTGTACATCCACCAGTAGTCAGATAGAATTATGTCTACAGTAAGAGCTCACTTCAGGACCGGCACCAGGCAGCATTTATTAGAGATGTGACACACTACCAGACTGTGAGCTGTGTCAATACACTGTGGGCATGAAACTCTAGTCCAGCAAGAACAAGGGAGCAAGGGAGGAGGCACGTTATAAAGTTTTTACATTGTGTTGTTGTCTCAAGCTTCATTCCTAATGAGGAGGAGGTAACTGAGTACTAGTCTGGTGTACTGTATTAGTGGAATTTTATATGATCGTTTTATCAATGGCCACCCAAGATGCTTATGGCTTCTGTATCTCTTATGTTATTCATGATCGCATAAGAAGTTGTCAAGAGTTTCTTGTAAATGTTGTAAAACACAACTGATTATCAAAATGAGCTTTGTGGTACAAAACCAGTAATTAAGATAAAATTACGTAGTGAAGTATTAAAAAGGGACTACAGTACAACATAAATGTTCTGATAGCACCAGAAAGCGACTAAATTCCAAAAGCTTCCAGGTTCAGTCTGGCTCAGAACCCACACCGCCAAGGGTCTCTCACCTGCAGTGCTCACAGTGTGGTATTCACACATTTTATCGACAATCTTAATTATTTTGTCTTCAAAAGTATGATTTCACACCCCCTTTCTCCCTTTCCCATTAAGAAAGATATGGTACTTTCCTAGCTAACTTAGTACTCATTTTTATAGATAACACATGATAGACATACGTATGTGTTCATTATACTGTATATTTATTTGCAGTATTTAATTGAAACCTCTAAAATTCGAACCTCAAAAATTCGGATATCTAAAATTCGAATAGCATCTGATTAAAAATATGCCAAAATTTTAGGTTTTGAATTTGAAAATACCGCCAAAACAATTCAAGCTTTCAAATGCAATCATAATGCTGAGCACAACAAGCGCATCCGGGTTCCAAGACATGCTAGGTCAAGCATTGTATCTAGTACAGTGAAGGTGGGTGGAGACGGAGTGTTGTATAGTACAGTATTTGGAGACTGTAGTGGAGACTGGTAGGATTACATGGAGACCACTGTAGCTATAATGTTCTAAATATATTAAGATAAATGTTGTTGAATATAAATACAGTAATACTTTTAATTTATTATACCTATTGCTTATTGACAGTTTTTAGATATGTAAATAATTTCTGTAGCATGTTTTGATACAATAATTTGCTCTGGCGCTTCCACACATCTAAAATTCGTATACTTCATGGGCCCATGCAATTCGAATTTTCGAGGTTGCACTGTACTTCCCCTTATATTCAAATATAGAAATTCATATACACACTCATTCTCAAAGAGGAAATATTTATACATTATACTGTATATATTTTACAAATTTTACCCATTACTCAATGGCCACAAACTAGAGGTGGCCATGCCGAAGGAAGGAAGCCAGTGGCAGACTGCCATCTAGAAATAATCGCCTCACTAGTCAAGAATCGAACCTGAGACCCCTGCAAGTGAACAGGGGTCGCTACCACAGCACCACAAGGCGACAAAAGTTATTCTTGGCTTTGTTATACCTGTATTTCACAAGGCAGCCTCCTCCAGGGATAACCTGTGCTATGTGGTCATACAATAGTTGCATTTTACAGATGCCAGCGAGGAAGCGCAGGGCTAAAGACATTATAACAAACAAGCAACTCTACCTGTCTTATTCTCAGTACACATAGCAATATATAGTTTCTGGTAACTAATATTTACTGATATTAATTGGAGTGTGCTTTTATTGTATAGTACAATTTTGCATAGCAGAAAGCTATACATTTTCTGTCAGTTGTATTTAATTGTATCAGGTATACCAGTGTATATGATTCATTTACATTATTACTCAAAAAAAAAAGATCTTACAAGTATCTTATACTGTACAGGCAGTTTAGATAATGTTCTTGTTTTTTCATATTATTGTAATCCTGTTCACTGGTTAGCTATACAAGCTTGACAAGGTTTAAAACAGATTATAGCTTCGTTTGAAACTGGGATACTATTTGGCCTATTGCCATGATTTTTTAAGGCTGGCTACCTCAACTTGCCAGCAACATTGGACAAACTGGTGCCCGGTCTTCCCTACTTATCAGATTTAATTAATATTTCCGTTGTTTTCCCTTACAGGTTTGTTTACACTTCATAATTGTTTACATCTTGAAGTATAAAACTCCCAAAGAAATATTTTCAGCAAATGATATAGGCAATATTATTTTATTTTACAAATACGATTAAATAGTTTGTTACAACATTGCATTAGCAGAGGGTGAGGACAGGAGTATTTGCTGAGGTTTATAGCAATTATTGTTTTTGTTTTTTTTACATGGTGTCACCTGGTCCAAATGTGTGATGGAACTTAACTAGGCTTGTGTGTCAGTGTCACCTGGGCCATGTTCATTACCTTAACATGGTCACAGTTCTTATGTCCTGAAGTTTGTGTCTGTTACAGCTAGTTAGTGTTCCCTTCTGTGTAGCTAGTTAGTGCTCCCTTCTGTGTTCTAGATAGTCAGTGCTCCCTTGCCTGTTTGATGTGGTCTGAGGGAGTGTAAGAGAAAGGTAAAGTTGGACATTAAGGCTGGCTTCTCATCTTTGTGTCCTGCTTCTTGTAGGACTTGCCATCTAGGAGTGAGTGACCCATGAGTGCAGCAGTCCAATTCACTGTTTCCTGATATACAATATATACATTTTTTTATTGTAATTAATATGAAATATGGATGTTTACAAGCCATGAACAATATCAGAGGGAATAATGGGATATTCGTTATACCGTACCTGTGGTTACCATTATCACTTAACACCAATGTATTAACCCCACTCACGACAAGGTGTTATTATAAATGAACCATAACTACAGTACTGTACATAATACTACTGATACCTCCGCTATGTTACCAACAGTGTGCCGTTCTTCCAACAGCACCTCTGTACTACTGATAATACATACCACTCTACCACAAACAGTACCATTCTTTCACTGACAGTACCATTGCACTATTAACAAGGTCTGTACCAGTAGTTACAACACCCGTGCTGGTTAATACACCATACCAGTGCACCAATGTAGTAATGTACATTACTACTGTCCCACCGTACAACTTGATAAAACATGATAACACACCACATCTCTACTCCTCTGTACATTACCCTATACCATTGTACAACTACAAGGTATACCCTTTCTGGAGCCAGTACAGTAAATGCCCAGTACTTGCCAACAGTGTGTAACAGAGATGTGACCGATCAGCCAAGCGGCTAACGGTTCAGTGGCGAAGAGGATAAAAGTGAAAGTAATAGAGCCCTGTACCAAGGCATCACTGACAGAACCACTGTACCTATGCACTACTGTATAATTATACCACTACACCAGTGTACATAATATATACACCACAGTAATATTCACAACTACTTTAGCACCCTATTGCACCACTGCCAAATTACACCACTGCATCATTAAGAGAATTAACACACCAATATGCCTTCACAGGAATGTATCACTGCTCCACTCTACCTTTACATCATTGCACCAGCAATAGCTCTACTGTATCACTGACTTACTTAAAGTATCGCCACCATTTTCACACTGCACCACTGTCAGCACCATTGTATTACTAGCAGTACCATGTACCACTAAACATTCCCCTACACCATTGTACCACAAAAAGCACCAGTATACATGTACAATTTTTCTGCTGTACCACTAATATATCAACTGCACCATTAACAGCTCCAATACACCAATGTACCACATACACCTCCACTCTTATCATTGTACAGTACTGTACTGTTGTACCACTAACAGAAGCTCTAGTGTATTATTGTACCACTAACAGCTCCAGTGTATCACTGCACAACTATACCACTAAAAGCTCCAGTGTATCACTGCACCACTCTACCACTAACAGCACCACTGAATCACTGCACCACTGTACCACTAACTGCAGCACTAACCTTTCAGTGTCGTCGTCTGGGTCGAGGAGCCAACTAAACTTAGACTCTTCGCGACTGAATGGCGGTACATCAACTCGAAACATGAACGGTTCGCAGGCTACTCTAGTGACAACCGACACCTCTGCAGGCGTAGTAGGAGTAGCGGGAGGAGGCGGAGCAGGAGGTGGAGGAGGAGGAGGAGGTAGCCTCGCCGACAAGTCTAGTAGTGCCGTAGAGTCTGCATCCCGGCCTGGTGCGTCAGAGCAAGTGTACCGTCAAACCTTGTTAAGTCGTCAGAGGCACTCCTGTTTTGCCTTGACTCACCACCACACTTGCAGGGGACTCGGCTAGTTCCTGGGCACAAACCCGGAACTGGATCCCATACCCAGTCAAATCAAGCCCTAACCTGACTCAACCTTAACTCAATCTAACTTAACCTATTAACCACTTACCAGACCCTAACATGACTTGATGTAACCTAACACATTTTAATACAGACTAACATATCTTATCAAACCCTAACCTAACCTAAGTCTAGCCTACCCTTGTCTGATCTAAGCTAACCTAATTATACCTTACCTGATCTTACCTTCTCTTAATTTTACAGCTTAGTTTATCCTAACTAACCACCAACCAGTCCATAACCTAACCTAACCAGTCCCTAACTCTACCCTAGTCTAACTTAACCTAACTTAATCAAACCTAACCAGACCTATACCTAGTCTAGTCTAACCTAACCTATCATAACCTTACCAACTCCACTATTCTAGTGTGAATATTTGGGTCCTGTTCCGGGGAGGGTCTGGGAACTAGCTTGATCCCACATGCAGGGCTGAGCTAAAAGATACCCTCAGCTCTGGGTGTTTCTAAAGGACTTTCAGTATATTATCCTCGGCCCAATATACAGATAGTAGACAAAAACAATGTCTATCAAAATTTCAGGCTACCTCAGTCGCCACAGGGGTACATAAAATGGTAGAGCCAGTAAATAAACAAACCAGCTTTTACACGCCAGTTCGAAGGCTTACTATGGAGAGAGAGAGATAATAATTACTACAGTACAGTATTGTAAATTCTTGATAAAGTTAATTCTTGTATCGGTTATAATTAATTCACAAAGGATTTGGATAAATAAGAAATTTATATATTTATAAAAGTCTGTATATAATTCTTGATTATATAGAGTACAGTACTCTGAAAAAATCACTTAATTCTTAATGATATGAGACTTCACGAGATTAATTATTGTAACAAAGTAACATTATTGCATGTCACTTATGATATCGTTCATATTAACATAATTGATAAAATCTCGTATAAATAAATTACATATTTATAGTTAAATATACAATTTGATTCAGGAATTAACTTATTTATACTTTTTTAATTTGCCAGAATATTTTAACAACTGTGGCAAATATTTTTTCTGTACGTATTGTGGGCAACAGTAACATCAAGATTTTTATTAATCAAAGTTACTTCGTTTTCTTGCAACTAATTACAGTAGTTGAGGGTATAGTACTCAGATCACTGGCAATGATACAAAACTATTTTTTAAAGTATCATTCACTTTAAATTATGATCCCATTTTGAGTAGAGTTACGTTGAAATTTTGATAAATGTCAAAATTTTCTCACTTTTTCAATATTTCATGATCTTCCACAAGATAATTTTTGTATCAACTTGAGTTCATTTGGATAGATTTTTTAGACCATATTTTTATTTTATTAGAGTTTGATGAGCTGTAAATTAGTAGTTTTATACTATATGATGAATAATTGATTTTAAGACTAGATTTCTATCATTAAACAAACTGCGAGCTTAACTAATTACTGATATTTTTAATCAGAAAAGGTGAAACTTTGCTTGTACAGTACAGTAAGTAAAGCTAAAACAGCAAGTGTCCTCCATAACTGAAGGACTTGGGTTGCATTAATGTCATCAGAGATACTGTCCAGTAAAACGCCGTGTACAACAAGTTCACTACCGAAGCATTGGAAAATTAATTAGATTCAACAGGGTCTACCAAATTGGATATAAGTGAGTGGTGAGGGGGAGTGTTGCGTGTGGGGGACCGCACGGAGCCGCGCCCTGCCAGCCTCTGCCCAGAGTTAGCAAGGTTTGACACCAGCCCAGCCATGTCCACCTCAGGGGGTCCCAGCTCTCTTGTTAACACATCACACTCTTACATATACAGCTTCTTTCTTGTTGCCCAAATGTTAGTTGAATGAAGTTACTATGATTCAGTGCAGTAGAATAAAATACTTTTTACTACAGTACAATAGTTTTAATAGGAAAGGTTATTAAGTTATTTAGCTTTCAATAATCAGATTATTTTTCCCATCGGGTAATGACAGCTAACCCACGCATATGTGGAAAATGACTGTAAAACATTGTTGACAAGATAGATGAAACCTGCCAATGAAGTTTCATTTGGTAGTAGAGTAGTTCTTGTTATGACAAAAAAAATGCTCATACTGTATTAGTCAAATTATTGGTCTTAGATTTTGGAGACTATGCCAATATAATCTGATCTTTTATTGAAGAACTTAGATTGAATTAAGATAGATAAAGCCATGTTAGGTGAAGCATTCAAGGTAAGTACCACTGTGATTCATATTAAAGTACAGTACGCATACATTTGTTAGTGATCCTATAAAAGCTAGATAATATTATAATGTACATTATCCGGTAATTTCATTTATTTAGTACAACTCTCTAACACACAAAATATTATACTGTATATATTGTTAATTGGTTTTGAAGAGCAACCTGTTTACACATCCTCACCATCAAGTACACAAACACAATCAACACTTCTTTCACACTGGGATCATCTACAGGTCATGACCTCATATCAGATACTTTACATTACTAAGTATGAGTAGATTCATGTGGATAATATGTAGCAGGATAAAACTAAGTAACAGCAACGTTAATGTCTAGTTTCCTACCCCAGCCCTTAACCTCTTAAACTGGACGGTAACGGGTAATGTTTCTTAGTTGGCTCCCTGTCTCTGTAACATCTTAGAGCAGTCTCAGTAATATGCTAGCATGAATGTTTACTGTGCTTGAACTGTGGATAGATAGGTCAATATGTAAAACATGTAGTCAGACAAAATGTCTACCTGGAGAAATAATATTTACATTTGTGAGCATGTCATCAAACGTTGGTGTTGGTACACGTCAGTACAGTAATGGTTTATGTGTACTGAGTGCTGATCATTGACATGTGATCTATATTTGTTAGCAAATGTCCTACTATGTTGACACATGTCCAATGATACATTGACAACTGTCATCAAATGTAATACATTTCGACATATGTTAAAAGAGCGTGGGCTGTTGTTTATGTTTGTTAATGTATGTTAACGTGTTGACAAATGTTTACAGCAGCCGATGGATACTCAGTGTATTGTGACAAACCGATATGTATTTTCAGCTGTTGACAGATGTTAACAGATATCCACAGATGTTACATAGGATGTTTAGAAGAGCTTGGCTTTCTTACCTGATTAGAGTAGAGAGTAGCAAGAGAAACCTGGTAATTGGCCTTGTGGTCTGTGTCTCACGCTGTGCAGTGGCCGGTTGTTCACTATAACTTTAAGACGTACTTCATGATCAGGGCAGCTAGTAAACTGGTTCATCTCATTCCCAGTTTTATTGTCCAGAAAAACATGAGTACAATATTTCTTCAATTACTCTTAAGCAAATTAAATTCAGAGCAAGATAAAAATAACTGGAAATATCATAAGAGTTATGTTATCCCAATTTGATCCTTAGTATTAGATAAGCTACTAATCATTTTATATAGTACAGTATAATATATGTATAGGTATCAAAATTAGCTGAGATAATAAAGAGTTAATATAAGTGTTTAATTCCATAGAGTATACTTACTTATAAGACATTATTTTTATTTGCTTTCCAAGCTATTTTACCTAATTTTCTGCAACCTTAATTTGAAATTCTTCCTTACTAAGTCATCATTATTGGACTTTTTTATCTTAAAAGTCTTCAATACGTAAGAGTTTTTGCCTTATTTAACTTGTCCGATATATTCAGGAGCCAGTGCATGCCCAGTATCAGCCAATACAGGTAGTGCATATCAGAGACATGACCGACCGCCCAAGCGGCTAACAAGCCGATCAGTGGCGAAACGGATAAAAGTAAAAATTAAAAGTTCTCGTTATTATTTAACTACTGTTCAGTTTTTCCTTTTAATTTCAAATATTTAATTTCAGCACTACCATAAGACAAATATTATTTAATTATAATTCACTATTAACATAAACATAATATAGTAAACCTAATTATACTCATCACCATACTAAAAGTTGTGTAATGCTTTAAGCAAGTCATTCTGAACCCAAGCTAATATTGCACGGCTCAGTCTTCATTTCCTGATCCACTGATCTCACATCTGCTGACCTCTCTATAATTACCCACTCTATCTCTTGGGGTCAAATTCTTTATTGAAAACAACCAGCCAATCACAGCCCAGTTTACAATCTATTGACCATAAAAAGAAAAACAGTAGAATTGGACCCTCAGGAGAGAATTAATGATGAAGGAAATTATAAACTTCAAAACAACCCAGTAACACCTGGGATTTAAAAGTCAATTGTTAATATAAAATGTGGCAAAAGAGAAGCGAAATTTAACTCGAGCCCCCTTATGCTAATCTCTTCATAACATAACTACTCATTTAAAGTAAAGTTAAGGTAACACTTGCTTTTAAAATAATGAATGGAATAATGTAAGCAATATGCTAATAGAAGTGCTGTATGCAGAGGGCCGCGGACGTCCAGGGTCACCAGGACACTTACTGCTGCACATACACCAGCTACGACAGTTCCAGTATCGCTCCGTCATCCTCCCCTATGAGCGACGCGAATACACTTTCTGCCTCGGAGGCGTCACCATTGACATGGAGCGTGGAGTGATGGAGGTAAGGCCCAGGTCGCTTTTCATAGTGTTATATGTACAGGTACTGCAGTCTTCTTTTATCACAAATTCACTTGTCACAGTTTAAATTTATTGCAATTTCATTAGTTATTGCAACATTTCTCATTTTTCCCAATGCCATCGTGAGAAAAAAAATTGAACTGTACCAGCAATTTACTACCCTCGGAGGAGTGATTAACAACAACATTCTTGAATTTTGTATTTTTTTGCATTGGTTTGTATTTGATGACAATACATATTTAAATTTTTTCCCATTAATTTTTAGAACTCTCTACTGTACAGACGTGCATTGTCACTGTACAGTAATCCCTTGGTTATCACGCCTAATTGGGACCGCGCCGAGTGAGTGATAACAAAAAACGCGATAACAAAAGTACAGAACCTATGGGATTTATTCTAATTGGTTCGAGGCACCCAAGACCCAACCCCAATTTTCCCATTTTACGACCATTCAGACCAGGGGTGTCAAACTCATGGCCCGCTGGACAAATGTGGCTCTTGGGATGGTCAGGTGTGGCCCACGGCATGACGGTAAAATTCATTATCCCGTGAAATTATGAAAGAAATAGATATAAACATGTTTATTTAGTAAAATGAATTTTACATACTTATGATCAGACAAACCCACATGAGGTATTCCTGGTAAGCCAGGTCAGGCAATGTGTGAAGCTGTAAACTTCAATCCTGCAAATATGTGATATAACGCTTGTATTGGCCCTGAAGAGGGTAACTAAAATAAGAGTTGGCCCTTGAAAGGTATTGAGTTTGACACCACTGCTGTAAGACTTACATTTTTGGTGGTTTTTCGTCAAAAATTCGATTTTGCTGAAAATCACAGTATGGGTACTCCTGAGCTTGTTGATTATTCATATGTGGTCCACGATTCAATTGCAAAGTAATTAGTGGCCTAAATGACCCTTGAAAAATTTCACTTACATTTTTCAATGCTAATTACTCATCAACTATGGGTTTCCAAGGTGTGATTTAGGGTTTGTGTGTTATTCTGAAAGTACTTAAGTAGCTAAACCCCTTAAATTTCTATTCTGAGAAAAAAGTAAAATATGGTCCAAAATTTTGTAAGGTATTAGACTTACATTCTAGGTGATTTTTGGCCAAAAATTCGATTTTGCTGAAAATCACAGTATGGGTTCTCCTGAGCTTGCTGATTATTCGTATGTGGTCCACGATTCGATTACAGACTAATTAGTGGCCAAAATGACCCTTGAAAATTTTTACTTACATTTTTCAATGCTAATAACTCATCAACTATGGGTTTCCAAGGTGTGATTTAGGGTTTGTGTGTTATTCTGAAAGTACTTAATTAGCAAAACCCCTTAAATTTCAATTCTGAGAAAAAAGTAAAATATGGTCATAAATTTTGTAAGGTATTAGACTTACATTTTTGGTGATTTTTGGCCAAAAATTCAATTTTGCTCAAAACCGCAGTATGGGTACTCCTGAGCTTGCTGATTATTCAAATGTGGTTCACGATTCGATTGCAAAGTAATTAGTGGCCTAAATGACCCTTGAAAAATTTTACTTACATTTTTCAATGCTAATTACTCATCAACTATGGGTTTCCAAGGTGTGATTTAGGGTTTGTGTGTTATTCTGAAAGTACTTAATTAGCTAAACCCCTTAAATTTCTATTCTGAGAAAAAAGTAAAATATGGTCAAAAGTTTTGTAAGGTATTAGACTTACATTTCTGGTGATTTTTGGCCAGAAATTCGATTTTGCAGAAAACCACAGTATGGGTACTCCTGAGCTTGCTGATTATTCATATGTGGTCCACGATTCGTTTACAGAGTAATTAGTGGCCAAAATGACCCTTGAAAGATTTTACTGACATATGCCAATGCTAATTACTCATCAACTATGGGTTTCCAAGGTGTGATTTAGGGTTTGTGTGTTATTCTGAATGTACTTAATTAGCTAAACCCCTTATATTTCAATTCTGAGAAAAAGTAAAATATGGTCAAAAATTTTGTTAGGTATTAGACTTGCATTCTTAGTGATTTTTGGCCAAAAATTCGATTTTGTTGAAAATCACAGTATGGGTACTCCTGAGCTTGCTGATTATTCATATGTGGTCCACGATTCGTTTACAGAGTAATTAGTGGCCAAAATGACCCTTGAAAGATTTTACTGACATATGCCAATGCTAATTACTCATCAACTATGGGTTTCCAAGGTGTGATTTAGGGTTTGTGTGTTATTCTGAATGTACTTAATTAGCTAAACCCGTTATATTTCAATTCTGAGAAAAAGTGAAATATGGTCAAAAATTTTGTAAGGTATTAGACTTACATTTTTGGTGATTTTTGGCCAAAAATTCGATTTTGCTGAAAATCACAGTATGGGTACTCCTGAGCTTGTTGATTATTCTTATGTGGTCCACGATTCGATTACAGAGTAATTAGTGTCCAAAATGACCCTTGAAAGATTTTACTGACAATGCTAATTACTCATCAGCTATGGGTTTCCAAGGTGTGATTTAGGGTTTGTGTGTTATTCTGAAAGTACAGTACTTAATTAGGAACCCTTTAAATTTCAATTCTGAGTAAAATGTATGTTTTGGTCAAAAAAATTTTAAGTTGTAAGACAGGGTTGTCAAACTCATGGCCCGCGGGCCAAATGTAGCCCTTGGGATGGTCAGGAATGGCCTGCGGCATGACAGTAAAATTTATCAACCCGTGAAATTATGAAAGAAATAGATATAATCATGTTTATTTAGTAAAATGAATTTTACATACTTAAGATCAGACAAACCCAAATGAGGTATTCCTGGTAAGCCAGGTCAGGCAATGTGTGAAGCTGTAAACTTCAATCCTGCAAATATGTGATATAGGCTTGTGTTGGCCCTGAAGAGGGTAACTAAAATAAGAATTGGCCCTCGAAAGGTATTGCGTTTAACACCACTGATTTAGAACTACTAAATATATAGATAACGTTATGGTAAGTATCAGAAAAACACATAGGCATGGCTAGGTTTATTACAAATTGATGAAAGGGGTACGCTCAATACTGTAGTCCACAAAACATGTAGCTATGCTTTCTTTATTTGAGTCCTCCGTCTGAGGACTTCGTTTTCTCATTGCTTCAGGACGCCTGAGTCCTCCGTTTTCTGTCAATCTTAGAGTGCATCCGAACTTCGTTATTCCTTAGTATTGACAGAATTTGAAATTGCAACTGGGGTTGTAATTGTTGAGGCAACTTAGATGTGTCTGATTACAGCAAATGTGTTATTGTCAATTTGTAGGTGAAAGATTTTATCCTCAATAGATGTAGGTGAAGCAAATGGGTAAAAACACCTGGAGGCAACTGCGTGATAACGAAATTCTCGGCTTAAAAAATGCGCGATAACAGCAGGTGTGCAGATTTTGATGGAGGCGTCATAACGAAAATCGTGATGACAAAGTGCGCTATATCCAAGGGATGACTGTACTGTACTGTACATCCCTATACTATGTGGTGCACTTTTCAATAAATCGTTCATTGTGACAACTTTTGTATTTCATTTATGCATTCTTACATTTAGTACTTGTTTATTGTTTTATATCTTAAATGTGGTAAAAATGGTGTTCAAGTATTTGGTGGTGGTGGTGACAAGCTGCTGTGGGGTGGAGGCGAGTGGTGTCGGTGATCAGGAGACGAATGGTCACAAAAAGGAGAACATGTAGTGGCCCATCATTTGTATTTTATATTTCATCTCACACATATTACTGTGTGTATCTCATATTTTTTGTCGATTTTCAAGTGTCTTTGAGTACAGTATCCCCAAAATTCCTGGCCAGAAATTCATTCTCCTTTAATACAGCACAGTACTATACATTGTTCATGAGAAAATTAGTTACATATATCACAACTTCGTATATCACAAGGGTTTTCTTGAAAGGAACAAATTCCCAGCCATTCGTTTCTCTCGTGTAAAGACAGGAGATAATACACAATCATCAACTAAGCCACACAAATTTTTGTATCAAATTTCAGCTCTGTGTCTTCAAAACGGAGGAAATGCATTCTTCTCACCCATTGTAGAGGGACAGGAGACAGTGCCTGACCCTCCATTAAGCCACTTACACCACCCTACCAAATTTTAACTCTATTTTCAAAACTGTGGGCTGATCCGTAGGTCTTGGTATGCCCTTCGTGGAGGGACAGGAGATAGTGCACAACCAACCCCTAGACCACTTGCACCTCCCACCCAAATTTCAGTTCTCTATCTTCAAAACTGTTGAAATGCGTAAGAAACACAAAGACAAAATGTATTTTACACACGAAGAGTTATGAAAGTGTCGAAAAATGTGGGAGACAAAATACTCGAGTTCTGGGATACAATGAACATGGTTGTATGCAATACACAGTTTAAGAAGAGGATGAGATGATGTTTGAGTCAGGTGGAAAAAAGGTTTTATTTTATTTATTTCCCATTAGGAAATCAGAGAGGAAGCTTGTAAGGGATGTAAAGGGTAAGTTTGTGCTTTACAGCAGAGAAAGGAAAAGGGCGTGTGTTCCAAGAATGCGAGTGTGGAAGTTGTAGAAAGATAAAGTAAGAGAAGCATTTTATTCTGAGTTTAGAAGACTGGAAACACCCAATGACAGTGAGACGGGTAGTGTAGCGAGAAGCTGGGTCAAAGTAAAGGATATTCTGCTGGGTGTGGCTGACTAGATTTGTAGCTTGATGAAAGGCACAGCCAGGCATGATAAAGTACTGTATAAAGTGTGATAAAGGAGAAGACAATATTGTGTAAGGCCTAAAAGAGGGGTGGTAATAAGGTGGGGAGTACTGGTGGCCAAACTTAAGGCCACAAGAGAGGTTTACAAGGCTAAGAAACACGAACAGGACATATTCACAGATGTGCTGAATAATTCAGACATGAGGAGAAGTTTTCAGAATAGACAGGTAAAATAATCGGTAGAAATAAAGTTATTGTTGGTGAGCAATGCCATGAGAAATGACCGTGGTAATGTGGTAATCAAGGATGCTTGAAGAAAGGAGAAAATGCTACAATTGATTACTGAATGAAGAGTTATGAATGGAACAAGAGCAGCCTTGAGGTAGTAGAACCAGTACAGGGACCATGCCCAAGGATTGAAAGAGAATTGATGGAGAAAGCAAATGACAAAATGAAGAATAAGAAAGTGGCTAGAAGCTCTGGGTTAGTTAGCAGGTGGCGATGTAGGCGTGTCAGTGGTGCCCGGATTGAATGATGCAATAATGATGAAATGCGCTTAGAATTGTCCCAGAAATAAATAAATAAACTGTATAGAACTGTAAAAGTTGTATACATTATGATATATTCACTATATCTGTCAAAAATAGCTTGCTCAGACATTTCAAAGAAGTCTTATGTCAGGCTACCTTGAGATGACTATGATAAAATCATCTCTTATATATTATGCATCATCTTTTCTTTCTTTTTTTTCTGAAAATTACACTTAGTATTAAGTTATGAAATATGTTATGTAACTCCTGATGTGAAAAACAGCTCAGCTGAATCCTGGTTCATTCACCATGAAGAAATACCTAATAATGTATGTCGGATCTGCAGGTGGGGATGGGCAACCCATCGCTGGTGGAGAACATCTCTCTGGCCCTGAGTGCTGCTGTTCTCCACGTTCTCTGTCAACCTCGCCCTGACCGTCCTGTCATCGGCCAGACCAACCGTATACCTGTGGAGAAGCTCAGCCTCCTTCACGCTCTGGGCTACTACGCCGACTCAGCGCCACACAACTCTTTCCTCAGGTCCTGCACAGGAGACGGGTGTGGTGGGTGTGGTTCATGTGGGGGCTGTGGTGGGTGTGGGGGCTGTGGGGGGTGTGGTGGATGTGGAGGATGCGGGGGTTGTGGTGGCTGTGGAGGTTAAAGAAATCGAAACTTAGGGATATAATGGAATATTACATATTTTCTTTCATGAATTTCTTCTCTTTCTCCCCGCATTTGAGGGTATCTTGTGCGGAAGAGACAGCTGCCAAACACTTTTCAGGGGAGGATACCCAGAGAGTGGTATTGCTACTGAGGGCCCTGGCCTCTTATCACCCCTGTACTCCACACTACTACTTTTTTTCTTACACTCTGTATCACTTGGGGTTTTTAATCCTAATAATTGTTATTTAGACTCCTAACACACTACACAAACCACACTCTCAGAAAACAGCAATGTCGACTTCTAAAAATCACAACTCTCTCAAAGTGAAGTGTAACTGAATGCATGTCAGCACTGATATCTGCAATACTAGAACCTTTAACATAACTATAACAGTAAGATGAGTGGTGAGGCACCAGCACCGTCAACAGTAACACCACTATTCCTAGGTTACTATGTGCAAGTACTGTGTACTGCAGCATAGAAGATACAGTATACCTGTACATAAATTAGAATGAACTTGCCACAGGGTCACGCTACATACTAAAACTCTCTTCATTAGGCAAGAGAATTTTTCTATTGTAAACATTCTCCTGTCCAGAAAAGAAGAAAATATTTTGAATGCTAGACATGTTTGTACTGCTACCACACTAGCTGCTCATTTTAGGTGATGTTAGAAGAACACACTTGTACTATCTTCTGTACATAATTATTAAGTAGTAATTTATACACACAATTAAGGAATGGCGCAATTCAAGTATATGAAAATATTAGGACACACATCCTCCATATTTTCATTTTCTTATGCACTAAGGTAAATGTGGGTATTTTAGGTGATTAAAGGGAATGCATTTTTAAGGTAAACTTAGCTTTTGTTACTTTCACTATTTCTGTTGATAATGTACTGTGAGTTCATATTGACTTACTATGGAGCCATATTCTCATTTATGTTTCATCTTTAGATCTGTACAGTAGTTATATTTAATCTGTATCATTGGTGACAATTAATGCACTTGCTTGTAGGTTAAGCTGCAGCTCATGTCACATTTATGTCAAGCTTGAGGTGTTGTCCATTCTTTTGTTTTAAGTAGACGAGTCAGAATAATTTGTAATCCAGACGTTACTATAAACAGCTCGGTGTTGCAGCCTCTTGTTTCAAGTACAGTACGTAGATCCCAGCCATGGTAACTATCCACGTGACAAGCTCAGCTTGAATAAGGCTGCTCGGGACGCTTTTTGATTTTAATATTGTAGGAAATATTTCATGAGACAGAAGGATACAATAATATTCCAGTTTTATAGGGTGAGTCAGTCTGTTCTACTTGTGTCTGTATGATCGACATGTTAACGTCTCTCCAGTTTCTCATTACAAGAACATTTGATTCTATACTTGTTCCTGGTGATGATGAATACCTGCCCTCTCACTCCTGTAGTCTTTTATTTCGCCGTAACTGCCATAAATACTCAAAGATTCCAACCAACGAAAAGGAATATTTTTCTGAACTTATTTATTTATGAACGGAAAAAAGAACAGTTGACAACTTTTGTTTTTAATATAAAGGTTGTAAGTTTAACAGGATTAAAAAAAAGTACTGTGCTGTACAGTTTAGGTAATTGCTAACAATTTTGCCTTAAGAACTTCAATATCCAGCAGAAGCTCCTTGACCATAAGAGTTACAATAAATATAGAACAATGATCTTGCCATAATCATACAAGATTTTCCTACAAATATTAAAACAATCATAAACACAACTGTCAGCAGGAGAGATTGTGCTGTGTACTGTACATAAAACTAAGGTCAACTAAATCAAAATAAGATAATTCAAAATAAATTTATAAACATTTACCTGTACAGGTGTATTAGGTGAAGGTCTTGTCACTCATGATTTGCATTTTGTAACTATGAATATTAGGGATTTAATTTTTACCCAAGTTAATGTTGCCATTATTCTTTTGTTTTTAGTATAATGCATATTTACATAAAAATTCTACTGTAACTTATTATTTTTGTATTTTTTACAAATACTCGTTATTCTAAGAGCCATAATCAATGGTATGGCTATTGAACAAATTTTTTAGATGAAACTGAGCTTTGCATTTACGATATAAATACTTTTTAGAAATTATCATCAGTACAGCTTGCATCACCTTTTATTGGTGTAAAAACCATTTGTTATAATCATTTCGCGAGCAGAGTAAACGATAAGAAGTCAACTTGAGTTTACTGGTGGGTAGTGTTACTGTTACTGCCAGGTAGCTTTCTTGCACCACAGTAGCTATATTTCTTCACCACCTGCTTCTAAAGTTACATTTCCATATTTTTATTTTCCTTTTTTCTCACAGATGGTTCCCAAAATTGTCATCAACTTTTTATTTTTCATACCTATGGTACGATGTGTAGCGGATAATATTCCTCGCCGAAGACAACAAAAATGTTGACGTAGGACCAATGTTTCAAAGGCTTGAGTGTTCATTCTACATGTGGAAAACTAACAAATCTGTCATAGGGTGGGGCGCTAGACTACTTAGCGTGAGTGTGCTACGAAACACAGTAGAGGTACTTATAGTCTATATTTGAAGTTGGGTATAATAGTGAGTGGTGGTTATGATGCTTTACTTGTGCTGTCATACTGTATTGGTAGTTAACATTCAAAATGTAGTTTTTAATAGTATTTGTTCAATGTCAGTTGTATGTTCACTAAGAGCAGTAATTAATAAACCCATTTGGAGAAAAAATAGACAGACTAGTTATTCATTTTAATTACAACAGGTAGCATGTGTCATAAGTGCAGGGTTCATATTCCAGAATTATGGTATTAATATCAAAGTGCTGTTGGTCTACAGGTGTGTATGTGACAGAATAAGTAAGGAACCAATGCCTTTATTTAAGTCCTGATCTCTTACATACCTAAAGGCTGGCTTGGTTTTCTTCCTTCAGGAAGAAATATTTTATTTTCTTCCTGAAAATGTTATATATAAGTCATGAGTATCACTTGAGTATCAGTGAGACACATAAGTTGGCTGTAGGATGGTTGTGGACAGCTGGGAGTAACATCCCTTCCTCTTACTAGTGGTGTGGCTTAATAGACCTGAACAGACCATGGTTGTTAGCAGGCGTCATCAGCATGTTGGTGGCGACCTTAAAGATAGTCTCCCTTATCATGCTGGCAGTATTTTTAGAAGGTAGAGAAGAGAGATCAGGTTCGTTATCACCCAAGGCGATACACGTCTGGATGTCCACAGCTGTAAACACACATTCCTACATACAATGCATATTATATATGCAGTCTTAAGCCACTTTAGTGCCAGTGGTATACTTTGATACTGTACTTGGAATTACTTTTTAAAACTGAGTAGAAATTATGTACTTATCTTCCAAGATATCAATTATATACTGTAAATAACTCATCATGTGTAGGACACTCCTCAAGTGATTTTCATGTATGTACGTGTGTATGTGGGTGTATGTATCTATTTGTGTGCAACCAGTAACTGCTATTTTGAATAACCCTCGAATGCCTCCTTAATAACATGCAAAATGCATGAGGATAACATATATAATAATAAATATTTAGTTTAGAAACTTCAGCTTAATCTGGTAAGAATTTAAGAGCCTGTAAGATATGAGTGGTGATTGAGAGGACTAATATCAGTATAGGACAGATCTACTTTACTTTATATTTAGAGTGAACAGGAAGTAAAATCCAGGTGGTATACTAGCCAAAATAACTGGTAGAGTGAAAGATAAAACAAATTTAGAAAATGACACCTTCCCAGGTATATTGCAGCTACCATGTTATAATGACAGTTGCCCCCAGAGATGATAAATAACAAATATATAAATTAAGAGTACAAAATAAGCAGTTACATAATGTATGGATGTATTTGGAAGAGACATTTTCTACAGGAGTCTTGTTCCTCCTCACTATACAGTAATCTTTCCCCAACAAAGTATATGACCAACATAAGCAGCAGTATAGATTTTTGACAACAATATTATCAGTCATTAACATACTTTTATCCATGTACAGATTGTATGCGTTACCCAGTATCTGAGGAACTCTTAGGAGTGAAGAATTTCTAAAGAATATTTTTTTTGTATACTGGTACATAGGCATGCTAGTAATGTGTAAATGGACAGCATGGTGTAGTTAGCACTAATTTTATAGCATTAGTGACCATTTGTTTAGTTTTGTTATATAAGTATGATGAAAACCTGAATGAAGTGAACACTTGGTCATGACAACTATGGAGAGTTTAGGTATAAGTTGTAAAACACTTGTATACTCCCTGCTGCTCAGTGAAGATTTGAGCGTGCTCACCACTTAACTGCAGTGCATTTCTTCAACCTACTTAGAGAATAGTGCAGTTCAGTGATGCAACAATTTTAATTAGGGAATATTTTGTATTATTTATTTGATAACTTAATAAAAAATTGAAATGAATCATCTTTACTGAGTCAGGTAAGATGTTGAAATACAGTCTTTAATGCATAAGATATATATTTATATCCAGGTGCAAAAAATATGGTTTTATGATTACCTCTGAAAATATTTCTTTCACCTCATTTCTTATTCTCTGATAACGTAGTAATGAAGAATTGTCTTAAATCTGCTCAAACTTCCAAAGGAGGAGAAACATATTGTCATTATACAACTGTTAGTGCAGTTCTCATCAGAAGATTTTTAAAATAAAATATAACCCTGACACGCTGCATGACTCGGGTACATAATATATCCTGGGTGTTATGCTGCCGATGATCTCTCTTTAACATTAAGGAACGTTTGTACATGTTTTAAGGTCATTCTCAGGTCCCCCTCTTTCGGAGTCTTGTGTCGGGGGACTGAGATATTAAGCACCTTCCTCCCCCTTTCTCCTGTGGAGCGTCGGGGGAGTAGGGACAAAGACCAAATAACCCCTCCTCCTGTGTAATCATCAGGGGGTTGAGTGATAGCTGTAGGTCTTCCTGTGTACCTGCGGGAGCTCTGTGAATATCTGCTGTGTCCCCTGCCTAGCGTCGCGTGTACAGGGGATTGGATGAAAGCTGCATCTCCCCCCTCCCTCCCTGTGTTACCGCCGGAGTTGTGTTCATTATGTTCCAGACCGCTCGTCAACCACCAAAGATTCTGAGCCTCTTCACCGCATGATGCCCCTCTGCCTGCTGGCCCCTCCATCACCTCCCACGTGTGTCTTCCTGTCTTACTCTCGCTAAATGATAAGCTCTTGCTTTTTGATCCAAGTCATGCACAAACTCACACTGTATGTTCATCTAAGTTGTTTTATTAACCATAATCTCTAGTTTCATTACAAATAACAGAGAATAATTATTCTATTCATTTTGGTGTAAGACCTCTGCACAGGTACATTACAGTACTAATTTAAAATAACTAATGGTACTAATTAATTAAAAAAAATTTCTTTCCAGGCATTTATTTTATTGATTTTAGAATTATTTTCTGTGTACTGTATTATCTTCTCTGAACACTGTACAATATTAAAAGAAATAATATCAATGTTAGGGATAATTCAAATATTTTCCTTTTCTTTAATTTATTTGAATGTTTATTTACTTCAGTATAATTTTGTTGATTTTGGGGTCTTTCCGGTATGTCATCTCAGCACATCATCTTTCATCTTCCTCTCCCACCAGTTTGCCCTGTTCCTTGTGTCTTCCCACTTGTCTCCTGCCCGACCCTTGCCCTCTCATCTACCTCCCACGTGTGTCTGTTTCATTCCCCTTAACATCCTTATCTCATTTCTTGTCTAGCATTCCTACCTTTTGCACTTTTCTTTAATAATTTTCTTCCTCTTCCCATCTTTCTGAATCCCTCTCTTCTTATCAGTCCTTTGTTGACCATGTCCTCCCCTCCCCCATCCCTCCCTCCCTTTATTCCTCATACTGTACTCTGTCCTTCCTCTTCCTCCTCCTCCTGCTCTTCACTTCTTCATCCCTCTCATGTTTCCTTTATCTTGTCAATTGTATTACCCTTCCTGTGCCTCCTTACCTCTAATAGTTCATACTCTCCACCACCAGCCCCCTCCTCCCCCACCACTACCCTCCTGCCCTGCTCCTCCTCCCCCACCACTACCCTCCTGCCCTGCTCCTCCTCCCCCACCACTACCCTCCTGCCCTGCTCCTCCTCCCACCACTACCCTCCTGCCCTGCTCCTCCTCCCCACCACTACCCTCCTGCCCTGCTCCTCTTCCCCCACCACTACCCCTGCCCTGCTCCTCCTCCCCCACCACTATCCTCCTGCCCTGCTCCTCCTCCCCCACCACTACCCTCCTGCCCTGCTCCTCTTCCCCCACCACTACCCTCCTGCCCTGCTCCTCCTCCCCCACCACTACCCTCCTGCCCTACCACTTTATGTTGCGTATAGTTGTCTCCCAACTGGCGGAGACGAGTAGGGAGCGAACATTGGGTTTCTTGTCGCGTCATACCTTGCTAAGAGAATCACATCTCTTCCATGCTGCTTCGATGATAGAGTAGAGCATCTGCTGCCGTTTGTTTCTGTCAACCTCATGCTACTAGAGCGTATTAATGGATCTAGTCGAGTCGCAAAATGATCATTGTTAAAATAAATACCAGAAAGAGGACTGTCAATACATTATCTTTCAACCTACACGAACCAACCAAACATAAGCAAACCCAAACAAAACTATCTTAGAATTGTTAGATTGGGTTTGTTACAAAGTTTTGTTAGGTTCAAGTCATCTGCTTTCAAAAAATTAAGTAATGGTTTACCTGTCATGTTCATGGTATTTTTTCTACATTGGCTGTCTTGCAGTCGAGCCCTCAAATTTTCTTAGAAGAACGACCAGTATTCGCCTTAACGCGTTCGTGAAGGTTCCTTTTCTGGAAGTCGACATGGATTATTGATAACACTGACCCCATTTATATTCAGCAAGTGTATTTTTAAATATATATTTTTTTATCTCGAGGATTTTCTTTAAAATTTTGTAAGGAAAACATTATAAAAAACATTTATTTTGAGGTTCCTTGACGCTCAGAAACACAACCTACACGACTTGGGCGCTGATCTGTGTCATGGCGATGACGCTGTAGTTCTGTGTTGCTCATCCCTGGCCACTCACCTCCTTCACACCAATATTTGTTGTATTCACGTCATCCTGTCATTACCAACTCCATTTTGTATTCTTTAAGAACATTCATGGTCAACATTCCATAACTGTCGTATACAGAAGACATAAGATAACATTTGGCTCTGCTCTTGCTGATGTAAAAACAAAAAAAGATATTCATCGTGGTAAATAACCCAGTAAAATATGATATTTGGGGCGGGTTTTGAAGTTAGTTTGGTGTATATTCCTCGTAACTGAATATGTAAAAATTCATCTGTTTGACTTATGGTGGAACATATGTATATCACTCAAAACAACATCAAAATTATACTAAGTACCTTTCCTAGACATGTTCACTTCAGTTTGAAGATAAAATTTACCAAGAAAATCTCTCGGGAAAGATTTCCTACATTAATTTTGTCTCTAAACATGTGTGAAGTGGATCTATATAGTTAAAATATGCTCTCTGTATAATTTTGATGCTCTATTTGGACATTAGTTATGTGTTTCATCTTTAGTGAGCCAGGTTAGTACATTCTAACATCAATTACGAGCAATATTCATCATGCGAATTATTAAAAATCCAGACTCTAATATTGGTTTACCAGGTCGCCAAGATATTTGAGGAGCAATAATGACCATTTTGTGTGTGTGTGTGTGTGTGTTCTATTCATGTAAAGCCTTCATAATTCTGTACAAGTGATAAGATAATGTGACATCACATTGTGCCATCATCACGCCTCCTTCACTTCTGTTTCCCACAACATGGATAAGGTCACACTACATCACTCATGTATCATAAGTGCGTATGTTGCCAGGGATAAAATTAGAGTGCATCCCGAACATGTAAGTGACCAGAGATGAGCACTAGATGCCGCAAGAGTCATTGGTGATAACGTATTCCATACAAGAGTAGTCGTCTGCAGAACAGCGGGCATGTTATGCCCAGCTGATCCCAATATAGTGATATAGTTGTAGTCTTTCTGTATTGCCAGTGCACAATAGGAATCTAAACCCTGTTATATGTGTATGTAATCAAGATTATTTTGTAGTAAGGAGAAGGTAATTATGTAGTTACTGTATAAAAAAGTGTGGTTCCTGCTTTTAATAATAATGTATACAGCCAGTGTTGCATAAAGTTCAAAAGTCACACTTGGCTATGTTCTGGTAGTCTTGTGATCTCTAAGACAGTATCAGAGGTAATGAGACAGGACAGAAGTACAAGGTATCTGCCCTTGATAACACTGGCACCCGGGTATACGCTTGTTGACTCGGAGCATAGCGAAGGTGTACTTGTGTGTGACTACCACAGAGAGGGAAATAGCTCAAAATGTCCTGTAAACACTTCAGTATGACTGCTTTTGCCTCAGCGTTCATTAATATATATATATATATATATATATATATATATATATATATATATATATATATATATATATATATATATATATATATATATATATATATATATATATATATATATATATATATATATATATATATATATATATATATATATATATATATATATATATATATATATATATATATATATATATATATATATATATATATATAATGTACTGTATTGCAACAAAGTTCTTGTCATGATCACTGTGGCAAAGACTAAACTTATCATAAATTTACATCGACTTGGGGTAATCTTTGGCAAGTTATAACTTGAAGAATATACTTCTGTTGAGCCCAGCCAATGTTTAGACTAATGATATGTACCATGGCTTTATCTCCACGAAACACAAAGCCTCCAACTATGTCCTCCGGCTTCTTGCTCTTTACCACAGTGCACGGAAATAATGCAGATAGTTGTGGAAGTTGATGGTTAGACACTATGTTGGGGGCACAAGATCAGTAGAAACACTATGTGGTGTCTGTTGTAAACCAAATTTCTGACTAGAGCAGGTAAATAATATAACGGGTTGATATCTTGTCCTTTCAGTGAAGCTGAAGTTTTCACTGACTGTGTGAATCTATATATTCTTCCTAGTATATTTCTTGTTTACAAAGATGAACACTTTCTTGCAAGACGCTGACTACATGCACAGATGCTGCATGTGTAAGCGTTCCGGGTCCCTTTATCCTCAGGTTAGCCAAAACGGCCATTTCAATATGGTCTTATCAGAGCCGCTACTCCATGTAAAATGTAAATTATAAATAGTTGAATAGAGGAAACCTATTCAGAAAACGTATGACAGTAAGTATAAATTACTCAACTGTACACGTCAACCATTGTTGTCAGACCAAGAGACTGATGCCGAAACTTTTGGCCTAAATCTAACCGCATTTTGACGTCATCACCAGGTCACTTTATGCCTACACCTGCATCTCAAATTTTAAAATGTATTATAGCAATCTTCAACTTTTTGTTGAAAAATTTCATTGATCATTACACATTTAGAGATTACTATCGATAAAAATTGTGCGTACAGGTAAAATAATACTGTAATATACCCTAAAAATTCATCTTATATATGACCTACCAAGTAGTTATCCAAGCACGTTAATCAAGCTATATTTTGATAAAGCTGCATCCGAACATAAATTTAATTCTATAACATTACAGTACAGGTTTTTGATAATGAAAATTGAATTCAGAACAAATTAAAGTAACTGCTCCAGTAGTGTGGAGGTTAGTGGCCCAGCAGCAAACTAATGGACATCTAGCATACCAAGGGGCTGTGAGATGGCGGTGTTATGTGCTGGATGATAGTGATAAAGATTTCGGATCCGGCATCATTATTTGTTATGTGTAATCAAGCCAAGTTAACGTGAATTAAAAGGTGGTTACCACAGACCCTCATTGTTAATACTGCCTAATAGGTTATATAGGACATTTCAATCTAGTGCTCTAATTCATCATCAATATTATGAGAAATATTATTTAGTAATAAATTTTCCTATTGTGCCAGTCAAAAACGTTTTGGGTTTGACTTGCATTTTCACAGCTCTCAGAACAATGTCAATATCAGTGGTTTATGAAAGCTTATCTGGACAAGATAAACCCTTCAAGTGACGTTTATAGGTAGGGCGGCTCTGTGGCTAACCAGTAACTTGAGGCATATTTCCTTGAATTATGAATGTGTACATCAACTGAGAATGTTTATATATGTATATAAAGAGGAACATTCTTCAACTCACCATAACTGATTGAGAAATGTTTGATATAATAATAATAATAATAATGTACGATAACTTCAAAGGAACATTCTCTAAATGAACACCTGATGAGAAAATGTACTTTCATTTAAAGTATGGAGGATGATCAATTTGTAGTCTTGTAGTAGAGAACTATAGTTACTTTCAGAGTGGGTAGTGTTAAGATAAGTGTTGGTAATGTTCTAGGTAGCAAGGGTGTCTATCTAATCTCTGAAATTGTAAGTAAATTCACTATAGAGTATATTTTAGTTCACAAGTGTTGTAATATCCACTTTAGGTACATTGTATGTACAATTTATTAATATTTAAACTTCACCTCCGTCACTCTCTGAAATCTAGAAAAATTATTTCTGAACGAGAATTGTAGAAACTTTAGTTGTTTCCTGGATGATCTTACAACAAGTTGCAGTGTCTGTAAAGATAGTTTAGAATATTTCTTCTAGGTTTCAAACTTGGACAAGGTTGGAGTTGAGATGAATATGACTGACTGTCAACAAACACCGATAGATGATCTTAAAAGATTGTAGTGTAAAATGGTAAATGAAGTTGCCATAAATTTTTGCACATACTATTCTTAAGTGTAAATATGTTTGAATAATTGTGTAGAAAATTTTTAAGGTTTGATTAGATTTTTTCTTTAACTTTGTAAACAGAGCTGGGAGTAGTGTGTGTGTATGTTAGTCCGGTGAAGCAGCTTAATCTAAACTCAAGATATGTAACACATAAGAATGAAAAAATAGAAGCTAATAATGATGATGACTTAACTTCTTAAGTACGATGACAGCACCTTGAGTACGATGACTTACTTCTCGAGTAAAATGAAATAACCCTTGAGAATAAGGTCTAGTGATCATACTCGTAAGTGTTGAAGCATCATCTTCTATTTAGTTTTATCAGATTCATATTCATATTTATAATCGACAATGAAGACACATTTATGCTTAAAGTTGAACTTGTATGGAATCTGGCTTTAGAAGTACAGTACTGTATATGTACATACAGTACAGTATCTTTAATGCCTCCCTCATATAAGTATTGTACAGTACTCTGGATTCATCCCCCTTCAGTACAGTACTCTGGGTTCATCCCCCTTCAGTACAGTAATCTGGGTTCATCCCCCTTCAGTACAGTACTCTGGGTTCATCTCCCTTCAGTACAGTACTCTGGGTTCATCCCCCTTCAGTACAGTACTCTGGGTTCATCCCCCTTCAGTACAGTACTCTGGGTTCATCCCCCTTCAGTACAGTACTCTGGATTCATCCCACTTCAGTACAGTACTCTGGGTTCATCTTCCTTCAGTACAGTACTCTGGGTTCATCCCCCTTCAGTACAGTACTCTGGGTTCATCTCCCTTCAGTACAGTACTCTGGGTTCACCCCCCTTCAGTACAGTACTCTGGGTTCATCTCCCTTCAGTACAGTACTCTGGGTTCATCCCCCTTCAGTACAGTACTCTGGGTTCATCCCACTTCAGTACAGTACTCTGGGTTCATCCCACTTCAGTACAGTACTCTGGGTTCATCCCACTTCAGTACAGTACTTTATTTCATTTAGCCATCTTACTATTGTACTCTTGTTTTGCACCAGTTCAGGCTTCTCATCAGTAAAAATAAACATTGAAGCTTCCAACAGAATGATTGGTTAGAATAACAAGGCATAAGCATCGTGTACCACCTGTTCGAAGATTCTTTGGTGATTAACTAATAATAGCTGATATAAATAAATGAAATAGGTGCCTGAATTTTGCATATTGAACAATTAACAAAAAATTGCTGTCAGCACCCATCACCTTTTTTAATATTGTATTGCCAAGAGATTCACAAATTTGTAAATTTGATAAATAATGTTATTCCAGGAATTAAATTTATTTACCTCATGAAATCTTTGAATCCGGCTGCTTGACGTAAATGCATTAGCTTACTGCACCAGCTTATGTTTAGGTTCCAAAATTTAATTTATAATTACAGGCGAACTCTATGTCCTTTAACATCATCTTGGTGCTCAGCGGGATGTGAACCACACACGTCTGTCTGATGCCCACATCTACCCCCAAATCATTAAGACAGTACAGTACAGTATTCGCAAAAGGAATTTTTTATCAAGATATTCGCTCATCACGGGATTAGTGATGCCATGAGGGTTAGCAGATTAGCTGACATGACTGATCGAAAAATCCCAAGTTGTCTTAGATAAAGGTAAATAATGAAGATGAGTGATGTTTTTGATCTGGAGTTCCTCTCATGAGCACACCATATGTGGAAGCCAAGATATGTAAAGACAGATGTTTCTTACCATGCAGAAAATGAGAGAAATCTGTCACAAATTTTAGAAAACGTGTATGTTGGCTAAGTGTTTTGTATGGGACAGTGATCGCTGTATGTGTATGAAATAATAAAGTGTTGTGTTGTAATACATAATGAGTATTCTTTTCCGAAGTCTGTTGTACATTTAATTATACTTTTAGATAGTGCAGGTTGGACCTCGCTAATCCAGGAAGCTAAGGACCAGACCAGTTACAGAGTAGCGAAAATTCTGAATCATCAAAGACAAGGTTAAAAAATGGAAAATAATGCATAAAATGTACTACTGTATTACTGTCTAATTTCTTCAGTATAGACATCTTTTCTAAAATAGTTAATGTCACATGATTATATTTCACCTCATTATAATGACTTCCATTGCTTGCTGGTCTCTTAGGAGGCATATTTAGGGGCAAATTATTAGTACAGTACAGTACGGTATATCAAGGTAAAATAGTGACAACAGCCACAAGAAGTGAGCTATGACACCGTCCCGAACCATTGAAGCTGCCAGACTATCGGGTCCCGGATTAGTGGGGTCCAACCTGAATGTATATTTCTGAATTACTTCCAAATACCTTATTTCGGTGTAAATATTCATAAGGCCATTTTGGCCAAAAAATAGATTTTATTCAAAATCCCGGTATAGGTACTCCTGGGCATGCTAATTCTGAATCTATGGTCGACAATTCGATTGCTGTTTAATATGATAATAATAATAATAATTTGCATTTTGGCAACTTTACTGAGGATAGCTGACAAAGCCATCAGATGCTTATATCCAGCAAGGCCCTTTAGCCAGGAGCATCTGAGCTGTTAACAGTCTAGTATAGCGTGTGTATGTGGCGCAGTTAGTCAAATTTCTCTTTCTTATGTGTCAATTTTCTCTTTCTTTAGGACCACATATACACACGTATAAAAAGGAGATCTCGCACTCAGGGTGGAGGTGAGAAAGCAAACTCAGAATAGCGTTAACTCCATGTATATTGTATATACAATGTTGTGCTGGGGAGTTGCTGTGTGGTGAGGAGCTTCAGGTGCGGAGGTGTTGTCAGCTTGAGATCGTTGAGTTGAATGACCCTCCCGATCGATCGATCAATGGGTGAAGTAAAGTATGAAGAGATCTTGATGCTGGTGCGTAGATTGGTGGTGCGGGAACTGGACTTGAAGAATAATGGTGGAATTTGGAGGGACTTAGGGTTGGTGGATAGTGCAAGAAGAAAAGCGAGGAAATTGGAAAATAGTAGAAGAATGAAGGGGGGTATTTATACAATCCTGCCTACTCAAGGTTAGAGGTGTGATATGAAAGTCGAGGACGGCAGCTGGCCAATCAACGAGCGACTCGAGGACGGATGGCTGTGGTAAGAGAGACGCTGCTGATTGACTGAAGCGAGGACAGCGACGCAGTTGTAGGGAGAGTAAGCCACGACACTAGCATTAACCACTTGCCTACAGGTCCCCTCTAAGCTTAATAAAATCGTCCGGCATTAACCAAAATAAAATATCAAAAGTGGCGTTCTCTTAGTGAAGGGGTTAATATCAATTGCTGATTTTGTAACAGTGGAAAAATAATTTGAAAGAAGGTTAAAAATTACTTTTGGAAAAGTTGATCTTTCTCGATTTACCCTGCGTGGGGGATACAGCCAGCAGCACCCTAGCCTGGGGCAAAAGGGTTAAGAGTTCTATAAAAAATACTGACGTTTATATTTTGAAACATCATGTTGTCAATTTACTGTTAATGTAGTGATTGTGGAAGTATCTTGCGTGGGGGAGTCTTCAACTAAAATAATTAAGGCATTATTGGCAAAAAACACAGTGACAAAATTTACACAACTTAAGATAATTAATAATATTATAGAGTAATTTTATCATTTTTAGAGCGTTTAAAAATAAATATAAGGTAAAAACTATTCCCTTGTGAAAACCGTAACAGGGAGCGTTGATCATACTCTCCCCAAGGTAAACAACAGCTGCAAGTTGAGAAGAAAATTGTTATGTTATATTGTATTATCAGGATTAAGTTGTTTTACAGTGTAGATGTGTGCAGGGATTATAGAGAGAGTTGGGACACCGACGCCCCTGTGAGTGCCTGTAGAGGCACCTCCTCATCTGGGAGGACCCCTGGGGGCACCGACGCCTCTGGGAGGGCCCCTTGGGGGTCCGCAACCCCTGGGAGGGCCCCTTGGAGCGCCGCCACCCATGAGAGGGCCCCTGAGAGCGCCGCTGCCCCTGGGACAACCCCTGGGGGGGGGCCACCGCTCCTGGAATGGCCCCTGGGGGTAGCGCCGCCTTTGAGAGGGCCCTCTAGGGACACCTACACCTCTGTGAATACCTGTAAGGGCACCTCCTCATCTGGGAGGACCCCTGGGGGCGCCAACGCTTTTGAAGGGCTCCTGGGGGATCCACAACCCCTGGGAGGGCCCCTTGGAGTGCCGCCGCCCATGAGAAGGTGCTTGGGCACGTCGTAGCTCCTGGAAAATACTCTGGGGACAGTTATTTTAGCACTAGTTAGAACTCTGAGAGATATGAAGTTAAATAAATACACTTCCCATCGCATTTTCAGTATCATCATATCCTGAACAATGAAAATGAGAATAAATATCAAACAGGAACTCATAAGTTGGGGTGTTGTGCCGACTTATTGCTCTGTTCTCCTATTGGCTGTAATTTGGTGGGTTTACATTTTAGTCCACCAATCACAGCTAAGTAAGGGATTGCTGGACATATGCAATATGTATGACACCACTGTAAAGCCTCTGGGGGTGTTGCCGCCGTCCCTGGAAGGGCCTCTTGGGGTGCTGACGCACCGGGGAGGGCCCTCAGGGGCGCCGCCGCCCTTTTGAGGGCCCATAGGGTCGCCATCGCTGCTAGCAGGGCCCACGGGGTGAGTGCCACCTCCCCTCGGAGGGTCCCTATTGGAGCCATAGCCCGTGAGAGAGCCCCTGGGGGCGCCACCGCCTCTGGAATGGTCCCTGGGGCTGTCACCGCCTTTGGGAGGGCCTTTTAGGGACACCTACGCCCATGTAAGTGCCTGTTGGGACGCTTCCTCATTTGGGAATGCCCCTAGGGGCGCCGACGCATTTGAAGGGTCCCTGGGGGATCCACAACCCCTTGGAGGGCTACTTGAAGCGCTGCCGCCCATGGAAGATCCCTGGAGACGTTCTTGCCCCTGGAAGGTCCTCTGGGGACATTTGTTTTTGCACTAGTTAGAACTCTGAGAGATATGACGTTAAATAAATACACCTCCCATCACATTTCTAGTATCATTCCATCCTGAAATTGAAAATGAGAATAAATATCAAACAGGAACTCATAAGTTGGAGTGTTGTGCTGACTGATTGCTCTGTTCTCCTATTGGCTGTAATTTGGTGTGTTTACATTTAGCCCACCAATCACGGTTAAGTAAGGGATTGCTGGACATATGCATTATGTATGACGCCTCAATACATCGCTTGGGGGCTCCGCAATCCTAGTGAGGGCTCCTAGGATCGCCATCACCACTGGCAGGTCCCCTGGGGGTGCCACTTCCCCTGGGAGAGTCCCTAGGGGCGCCACCACCCCTAAAAGGTCCCCAGGGGGTGCTGCCGCACTTGGGAGGGTCCTTGGGGGCACCACCGTCCTTGTGAGGGCCCCTGGGGGTGTCATCGCTATTAGCAGCGCCCCTGGGGTTGCCACCGTTCCTGGGAGGGTCCCTATTGGCGCCACAGCCCGCGGAAGAGCCCCTGGGGGCGCCACCGCCCCTGGAATGGCCCCTGTGGGCGCCACCGACCCTGCAATGGTCCTTGGGGGCGCCACCGACCCTGGAATGGCCCCTGGGGGTAGTGCCGTCTTTGGGAGGGCCCTCTAGGGACATCTACGCCCATGTGAGTGCCTGTAAGGGCACCCCCTCATCTGGGAGGACCCCTGGGGGCGCCAACGCTTTTGAAGGGCCCCTGGGGGATCCACAACTCCTGGGAGGGCCCTTGAAGCACCCCCGCTCTTGAGAAGGTGCTTGGGGACGTTAGAGCTCCTGGAAAGTCCTCTGGGGGCAGTTGTTTTAGCACTAGTTGGAACTCTGAGAGATATGACGTTAAATAAATACACCTCCCATCGCATTTTCAGTATCATCATATCCTGAAATTGAAAATGAGAATAAATATCAAACAGGAACTCATAAGTTGGGGTGTTGTGCTGACTTATTGCTCTGTTCTCCTATTGGCTGTAATTTGGTGGGTTTACATTCTAGCCCACCAATCACAGCTAAGTAAGGGATTGCTGGACATATGCAATATGTATGACACCACTGTAAAGCCTCTGGGGGTATTGCCGCCGTCCCTGGAAGGGCCTCTTGGGGTGCTGACGCACCGGGGAGGGCCCTCAGGGGCGCCGCCGCCCTTTTGAGGGCCCATAGGGTCGCCATCGCTGCTAGCAGGGCCCACGGGGTGAGTGCCACCTCCCCTGGGAGGGTCCCTATTGGAGCCATAGCCCGTGAGAGAGCCCCTGGGGGCGCCACCGCCTCTGGAATGGTCCCTGGGGGAGTCACCGCCTTTGGGAGGGCCTTCTAGGGACACCTACGCCCCTATAAGTGCCTATAGGGGCGCCAACGCTTTTAAAGGGCCCCTGGGGGCGCCGACGCTTTTGAAGGGCCCCTGGCGGATCCACAACCCCTTGGAGGGTCCCTTGAAGCACTGCCGCCCATGGAAGGTCCCTGGGGACGTCCTCGCCCCTGGAAGGTCCTCGGGGGACATTTGTTTTTGCACTAGTTAGAACTCTGAGAGATATGACGTTAAATAAATACACCGCCCATCACATTTCTAGTATCATTCCATCCTGAAATTGAAAATGAGAATAAATATCAAACAGGAACTCATAAGTTGGGGTGTTGTGCTGACTGATTGCTCTGTTCTCCTATTGGCTGTAATTTGGTGTGTTTACATTTAGCCCACCAATCACGGTTAAGTAAGGGATTGCTGGACATATGCATTATGTATGACGCCTCAATACATCCCTTGGGGGCTCCGCCATCCTAGTGAGGGCCCCTAGGATCGCCATCACCACTGGCAGGGCCCCTGGGGGTGCCACCTCCCCTGGGAGGGTCCCTATTGGCGCCATAGCCCATGGGAGAGCCCCTGGGGCCGCCACCGCCCCTGGAATGGCCCCTGGGGTGTCGCCGCCTTTGGGAGGGCCTTTTAGGGACACCTACGCCCCTATAAGTGCCTGTAGGGACGCTTCCTCATTTGGGAATGCCCCTAGGGGCGCCGACGCATTTGAAGGGCCCCTGGGGGATCCACAACCCTTTGGAGGGCTACTTGAAGCGCTGCCGCCCATGGAAGATCCCTGGAGACGTCCTCGCCCCTGGAAGGTCCTCGGGGGGCATTTGTTTTTGCACTAGTTAGAACTCTGAGAGATATGACGTTAAATAAATACACCGCCCATCACATTTCTAGTATCATTCCATCCTGAAATTGAAAATGAGAATAAATATCAAACAGGAACTCATAAGTTGGGGTGTTGTGCTGACTGATTGCTCTGTTCTCCTATTGGCTGTAATTTGGTGTGTTTACATTTAGCCCACCAATCACGGTTAAGTAAGGGATTGCTGGACATATGCATTATGTATGACGCCTCAATACATCCCTTGGGGGGTCCGCCATCCTAGTGAGGGCCCCTAGGATCGCCATCACCACTGGCAGGGCCCCTGGGGGTGCCACTTCCCCTGGGAGAGTCCCTAGGGGCGCCACCGCCCCTAAAAGGTCCCCAGGGGGTGCTGCCGCACTTGGGAGGGTCCTTGGGGGCACCACCGTCCTTGTGAGGGCCCCTGGGGGTGTCATCGCTATTAGCAGCGCCCCTGGGGTTGCCACCGTTCCTGGGAGGGTCCCTATTGGCGCCACAGTCCGCGGAAGAGCCCCTGGGGGCGCCACCGTCCCTGGAATGGCCCCTGTGGGCGCCACCGACCCTGCAATGGTCCTTGGGGGCGCCACCGACCCTGGAATGGCCCCTGGGGGTAGTGCCGTCTTTGGGAGGGCCCTCTGGGGACATCTACGCCCATGTGAGTGCCTGTAAGGGCACCCCCTCATCTGGGAGGACCCCTGGGGGCGCCAAAGCTTTTGAAGGGCCCCTGGGGGATCCACAACTCCTGGGAGGGCCCCTTGAAGCGCCCCCGCTCTTGAGAAGGTGCTTGGGGACGTTAGAGCTCCTGGAAAGTCCTCTGGGGGCAGTTGTTTTAGCACTAGTTGGAACTCTGAGAGATATGACGTTAAATAAATACACCTCCCATCGCATTTTCAGTATCATCATATCCTGAAATTGAAAATGAGAATAAATATCAAACAGGAACTCATAAGTTGGGGTGTTGTGCTGACTTATTGCTCTGTTCTCCTATTGGCTGTAATTTGGTGGGTTTACATTCTAGCCCACCAATCACAGCTAAGTAAGGGATTGCTGGACATATGCAATATGTATGACACCACTGTAAAGCCTCTGGGGGTGTTGCCGCCGTCCCTGGAAGGGCCTCTTGGGGTGCTGACGCACCGGGGAGGGCCCTCAGGGGCGCCGCCGCCCTTTTGAGGGCCCATAGGGTCGCCATCGCTGCTAGCAGGGCCCACAGGGTGAGTGCCACCTCCCCTGGGAGGGTCCCTATTGGAGCCATAGCCCGTGAGAGAGCCCATGGGGGCGCCACCGCCTCTGGAATGGTCCCTGGGGGTGTCACCGTCTTTGGGAGGGCCTTCTAGGGACACCTACGCCCCTATAAGTGCCTATAGGGGCGCCGACGCTTTTGAAGGGCCCCTGGGGGCGCCGACGCTTTTGAAGGGCCCCTGGCGGATCCACAACCCCTTGGAGGGCCCCTTGAAGCACTGCCGCCCATGGAAGGTCCCTGGGGACGTCCTCGCCCCTGGAAGGTCCTCTGGGGACATTTGTTTTTGCACTAGTTAGAACTCTGAGAGATATGACGTTAAATAAATACACCCCCCATCACATTTCTAGTATCATTCCATCCTGAAATTGAAAATGAGAATAAATATCAAACAGGAACTCATAAGTTGGGGTGTTGTGCTGACTGATTGCTCTGTTCTCCTATTGGCTGTAATTTGGTGTGTTTACATTTAGCCCACCAATCACGGTTAAGTAAGGGATTGCTGGACATATGCATTATGTATGACGCCTCAATACATCCCTTGGGGGCTCTGCCATCCTAGTGAGGGCCCCTAGGATCGCCATCACCACTGGCAGGGCCCCTGGGAGTGCCACCTCCCCTGGGAGGGTCCCTATTGGCGCCATAGCCCATGGGAGAGCCCCTGGGGGCGCCACCGCCCCTGGAATGGCCCCTGGGGTGTCGCCGCCTTTGGGAGGGCCTTTTAGGGACACCTACGCCCCTGTAAGTGCCTGTAGGGACGCTTCCTCATTTGGGAATGCCCCTAGGGGCGCCGACGCATTTGAAGGGCCCCTGGGGGATCCACAACCCCTTGGAGGGCTACTTGAAGCGCTGCCGCCCATGGAAGATCCCTGGAGACGTCCTCGCCCCTGGAAGGTCCTCTGGGGACATTTGTTTTTGCACTAGTTAGAACTCTGAGAGATATGACGTTTTAAATAAATACACCGCCCATCACATTTCTAGTATCATTCCATCCTGAAATTGAAAATGAGAATAAATATCAAACAGGAACTCATAAGTTGGGGTGTTGTGCTGACTTATTGCTCTGTTCTCCTATTGGCTGTAATTTGGTGGGTTTACATTCTAGCCCACCAATCACAGCTAAGTAAGGGATTGCTATACATATGCAATATGTATGACACCACTGTAAAGCCTCTTGGGGTGTTGCCGCCGCCCCTGGAAGGGCCTCTTGGGGCATTTGTTTTTGCACTAGTTAGAACTCTGAGAGATATGACGTTAAATAAATACACCGCCCATCACATTTCTAGTATCATTCCATCCTGAAATTGAAAATGAGAATAAATATCAAACAGGAACTCATAAGTTGGGGTGTTGTGCTGACTGATTGCTCTGTTCTCCTATTGGCTGTAATTTGTTGTGTTTACATTTAGCCCACCAATCACAGTTAAGTAAGGGATTGCTGGACATATGCATTATGTATGACGCCTCAATACATCCCTTGGGGGCTCCGCCGTCCTAGTGAGGGCCCCTAGGATCGCCATCACCACTGGCAGGGCCCCTGGGGGTGCCACTTCCCCTGGGAGAGTCCCTAGGGGCGCCACCGCCCCTAAAAGGTCCCCAGGGGGTGCTGCCGCACTTGGGAGGGTCCTTGGGGGCACCGCCGTCCTTGTGAGGGCCCCAAGGGGTGTCATCGCTATTAGCAGCGCCCCTGGGGTTGCCACCTTTCCTGGGAGGGTCCCTATTGGCGCCACAGCCCGCGGAAGAGCCCCTGGGGGCGCCACCGCCCCTGGAATGGCCCCTGTGGGAGCCACCGACCCTGCAATGGTCCTTGGGGGCGCCACCGACCCTGGAATGGCCCCTGGGGGTAGTGCCGTCTTTGGGAGGGCCCTCTAGGGACATCTACGCCCATGTGAGTGCCTGTAAGGGCACCTCCTCATCTGGGAGGACCCCTGGGAGCGCCAAAGCTTTAAGGGCCCCTGGGGGATCCACAACTCCTGGGAGGGCCCCTTGAAGCGCCCCCGCTCTTGAGAAGGTGCTTGGGGACGTTAGAGCTCCTGGAAAGTCCTCTGGGGGCAGTTGTTTTAGCACTAGTTGGAACTCTGAGAGATATGACGTTAAATAAATACACCTCCCATCGCATTTTCAGTATCATCATATCCTGAAATTGAAAATGAGAATAAATATCAAACAGGAACTCATAAGTTGGGGTGTTGTGCTGACTTATTGCTCTGTTCTCCTATTGGCTGTAATTTGGTGGGTTTACATTCTAGCCTACCAATCACAGCTAAGTAAGGGATTGCTATACATATGCAATATGTATGACACCACTGTAAAGCCTCATGGGGTGTTGCCGCCGCCGCTGGAAGGGCCTCTTGGGGTGCTGACGCACCTGGAAGGGCCCTCAGGGGCGCCGTCGCCCTTTTGAGGGCCCCTTGGGGCGCCATCGCTGCTAGCAGGGCCCACGGGGTGCCACCTCCCCTGGGAGGGTCCCTATTGGCGCCATAGCCCATGGGAGAGCCCCTGGGGGCGCCACCGCCCCTGGAATGGCCCCTGGGGGTGTCGCCGCCTTTGGGAGGGCCTTTTAGGGACACCTACGCCCCTGTAAGTGCCTATAGGGACGCTTCCTCATTTGGGAAGGCCCCTGGGGGCGCCGACGCATTTGAAGGGCCCCTGGGGGATCCACAACCCCTTGGAGGGCTACTTGAAGCGCTGCCGCCCATGGAAGATCCCTGGAGACGTCCTCGCCCCTGGAAGGTCCTCTGGGGACATTTGTTTTTGCACTAGTTAGAACTCTGAGAGATATGACGTTAAATAAATACACTTCCCATCGCATTTCTAGTATCATTCCATCCTGAAATTGAAAATGAGAATAAATATCAAACAGGAACTCATAAGTTGGGGTGTTGTGCTGACTTATTGCTCTGTTCTCCTATTGGCTGTAATTTGGTGGGTTTACATTCTAGCCCACCAATCACAGCTAAGTAAGGGATTGCTATACATATGCAATATGTATGACACCACTGTAAAGCCTCTTGGGGTGTTGCCGCCGCCCCTGGAAGGGCCTCTTGGGGCATTTGTTTTTGCACTAGTTAGAACTCTGAGAGATATGACGTTAAATAAATACACTTCCCATCGCATTTCTAGTATCATTCCATCCTGAAATTGAAAATGAGAATAAATATCAAACAGGAACTCATAAGTTGGGGTGTTGTGCTGACTGATTGCTCTGTTCTCCTATTGGCTGGAATTTGTTGTGTTTACATTTAGCCAACCAATCACGGTTAAGTAAGGGATTGCTGGACATATGCATTATGTATGACGCCTCAATACATCCCTTGGGGGCTCCGCCGTCCTAGTGAGGGCCCCTAGGATCGCCATCACCACTGGCAGGGCCCCTGGGGGTGCCACTTCCCCTGGGAGAGTCCCTAGGGGCGCCACCGCCCCTAAAAGGTCCCCAGGGGGTGCTGCCACACTTGGGAGGGTCCTTGGGGGCACCGCCGTCCTTGTGAGGGCCCCAAGGGGTGTCATCGCTATTAGCAGCGCCCCTGGGGTTGCCACCTTTCCTGGGAGGGTCCCTATTGGCGCCACAGCCCGCGGAAGAGCCCCTGGGGGCGCCACCGCCCCTGGAATGGCCCCTGTGGGAGCCACCGACCCTGCAATGGTCCTTGGGGGCGCCACCGACCCTGGAATGGCCCCTGGGGGTAGTGTTGTCTTTGGGAGGGCCCTCTAGGGACATCTACGCCCATGTGAGTGCCTGTAAGGGCACCTCCTCATCTGGGAGGACCCCTGGGGGCGCCAAAGCTTTTGAAGGGCCCCTGGGGGATCCACAACTCCTGGGAGGGCCCCTTGAAGCGCCCCCGCTCTTGAGAAGGTGCTTGGGGACGTTAGAGGTCCTGGAAAGTCCTCTGGCGGCAGTTGTTTTAGCACTAGTTGGAACTCTGAGAGATATGACGTTAAATAAATACACCTCCCATCGCATTTTCAGTATCATCATATCCTGAAATTGAAAATGAGAATAAATATCAAACAGGAACTCATAAGTTGGGGTGTTGTGCTGACTTATTGCTCTGTTCTCCTATTGGCTGTAATTTGGTGGGTTTACATTCTAGCCCACCAATCACAGCTAAGTAAGGGATTGCTGGACATATGCAATATGTATGACACCACTGTAAAGCCTCTGGGGGTGTTGCCGCCGTCCCTGGAAGGGCCTCTTGGGGTGCTGACGCACCGGGGAGGGCCCTCAGGGGCGCCGCCGCCCTTTTGAGGGCCCATAGGGTCGCCATCGCTGCTAGCAGGGCCCACAGGGTGAGTGCCACCTCCCCTGGGAGGGTCCCTATTGGAGCCATAGCCCGTGAGAGAGCCCATGGGGGCGCCACCGCCTCTGGAATGGTCCCTGGGGGTGCTGCCGCACTTGGGAGGGTCCTTGGGGGCACCACCGTCCTTGTGAGGGCCCCTGGGGGTGTCATCTCTGCTGGCACGGCTTCTGGGGGTATCACCACCCTGGGCGGGTCCCTGGGGCGCCTCCGCACCGCGAGAGGGTCCCTGAGGCGCCACCACCCCTGGAAAAGCCCCTGGAGGTGCCGCTGCCCCTGGGATGGCCTCTGGAGGCGCCCCCGCCTTTGGGGGGGGGCCCTGTAGTTGCACTGCCGTTTCTGTGATGGCCCCTAGTGGCGCCTCCGTGTCTGGGAGGACCCCTTTGGGCGCCATCGCCGTCTGGGACCCCTGGCAGCGCCGTCGCCCCTGTAAAGTCCCCTAGAGGGGCCTCTCTATCTGAGAGCGCCCCTGGGGGCGCCGCTTCCCTGGAACCGCCATCGCCCCTGAGAGCGTCATCACCCCTGGAATCGCCACCGCCTCTTGGGGAGCCTCCTAGAGGCACCGCCGCCCTTATGTCACCTAGTTGGGCCTCTGCACCTGGGAGGGCCCCTGGGGGCATCGCCGCCTTTGGGAGTGTCTCTGAGCGCCCTGCCACATCTGGAAAAGCTCCTGGTGGCACCACATCCCCTAAAAAGGTCCCAGGGATTGCCGACACCCCTGAGCCCCTGGGGTTACAGACGCCCTTGGAAGGATCCCCTAAGGACGCTTCTGCCCGTCAGGGCCCTTAGGGGCACTTCCGCATCTGGGAGGGCCCCTTGGGGCGCCGACGCCCTTGGGAGTGCCCCTGGGGGAGCCACCACCCCTGGGAGCACCACCGCTTTTGGGAGAACCCCTTGCAATGCAGCCGTCCCTGGGACCCCCCCCACAGCCCTTGAATGGGCCTCTAGAGGGACCCTGGGTGCTTCACCGCCCCTAGAAGGGCTCCGGGTTTCGACACCGCTCCTGGGAGGGCTTTTGAGGGTGTCGCTGCCTTTGGGAGGATCCCTGGGGGGAGCCGCTGCCCCTTGGAGAACCCTTGGCAGCACCGCCTTCCTTGGGAGGGCCCCTGGGGGCATCACCGCCCCTGGGAGGGCTTTTGAGGGTGTCGCCACCCCTGGAAGGGCCGTTGTCCCTGGCAGGGCCCCTGGGGGCGCTACCACCCTTGAGAGGGCTCTTGAGGGTGCCACCGCCCCTGGGAAGGCCCCTGAGGGTGCCACCCCTGGGAGGGCCCCTGTGGGTGCCACCACCCCTGGCAGGGCCTTTGGGATCACCACCACCCATAAGGAGGGCCTCTGGGGGCATCGCAGCCCCTGGCAGGGCCTGGGGACTCCGCCGCCCCTGGTAGGGCGTGTAATTAAGTCTGACGAGGACTTCACAAAATTATAGGAAGATCTAAACCAATTTTTCGAATGGTCTGACAAATGGCAGATGAAATTCAATGTGGACAAGTGTAAAGTACTCAGTATAGGAGATATAAACAGGGAAACCAGATACCAGATGAACACCGATGTTATACAGTAGAGAAATCTGACTGCAAGAAAGATTTAGGAGTAGTGTAATTATAAGTAGGAATCTTAAACCAAGTAAACAATGTGTATTTGCTCGAAACAAGGCTAACAAAGTACTTGGGTTCATACAAAGGGGTGTTAGTTACAAGACTAACGAGGTCATCCTAAAATTATGTCTTGCGCTTGTGAGACCTCACTAGGATTATGCAGTTCACTTCTGGTCACCGTACTACAGGATGGATATAGAATCCCAAGAAAGAATTCAGAGAATAACAAGACTAATCCTTGGCATTAGGAACCTCAAGTACAGAGACAGGATAAAGAATCTTAATTTGCACTCCCTCGAGAGACGTAGAGTGAGGGGCGATATGATCGAAGTGTACAAATGGAAGTCAGGGCTAAACAAAGGTGACAGTAATGAATACTATTGTAGTGTATTTATTATTTTAATAAATACTATTGTAGTGTATTTATCATCACTTAATAACTAATATTGTAGTGTACAGTATTGTGTAGCAGCATATACCCTTGTTTATTCATTATTCACTTGTCTTAGTGTACAAGTAGCCAAATTGAGCCATAATATAACACTCAAAAAGGTAATAAATAACGTTGCTAGGAAGGTATCTTCTTATAAAATACTATACAGTGTGTTATAGCGACATGTGTTGTAAGCTGGTCTCCTGAAAGCTCTCACATGAATGCATCTTGAGTAAATAACCTTCTGATACAGCTTATCTTTTTATTTTCAAGCCATATTACAAATTACATACAGTACTATATTGCATATTTTCTCTATTACTGAATATGTTATATTAATCATGATGAACCATAAACAATAAGAGGCCAATCATATGAGACTATAATACTGAATCAATAAATAAATAAACCTGACGAATGCAGCAACATCTGATCAGCCCCAGCCTGCTTACATACTCGAGTGCCTTAGTTCTCAGTAGGCCTAAAACAAATCTCATTGGACCACTGTACAGTATTCAGTATGTGTTGCTCATTTCGTAAGGTTGTTTTTATTAATCTTCTCCATTTCTTTAAGTCTTTGGGCCGATGATAGTCATGACCCCTGTACACTGTCCAACTTCCCTCCACCTACCCCAAAGAAAATGTGGTTTAGGGTACTCACAAGGTCTTTTCTTTAATTAATTTGTTTTTTTACTTTCTTGCAAATACAACAATGTTTTGTAATGATGGGAAGATTCTACTTTTGTGAGCTGCTGCAAACAGTCAACTTATAGAGGTGCTATTTCATTTCAGGACAAAAAGTTTCTAAAAAGATCAAATTACTATAGCTAAAATATCACATGTACCACTGCACTGTACTGTATAAATGAAGGCTGGGCTGGAACTGGGCACCCACACTATGTAAAAGTTGCTTAGCATTTTAAACTAAATATTTGTTTAAAATATCTAAACTTACAACAGGCGAGTATAAACTTGATGAGGCATCTCTGTATAATATACAGTGTATATGTTCTTTAATAAACTAATATTAACAGTTAAAAAGAGTCGAGGATGTACAGTCTAGTTTGTTTTAAGTAATTCTTTCTGCTTCACTGACATCATTTTCTCAGCTTCCTGCATGTGGCTCTCTGCTATCTCTCGTACCTGTTGACAAGAAGATACAAAGATAAGATTAACAGAGACATTTCACATACGTCTCTAGTTAATGACTGACAAATGGATGAATGGAACACAAGGAAACATCATCAGTGAGCTTTAAGCGTAACAACTGGCAGCTTGCTCTTTCATTGGCTGTGACTTCACAAACCACTTACCACAGAACCATGAAGCCATATAATAATAAATTAAAGTATCCTGTACAAGGTCTGTGACGGTAGGCAGACATTTCATCACCTGACAATTTGTAACATGATATTTTGGAGGTGATAAAGCCATGGTTAGGTGAGTGTAGGTTTATACTGAACTGCTGAATAAATGTCCTTGACAAAATGTCCGAGAACCGTCTGTGACATGCATATTAGAAGTCCTTGCCTCATTCCACTAACCTAACCTTATACACATGAGTTACTAAGATGTCAGATAATTACATATGTCCATGTTAAGGTCAATACAGCAGAAGCATTGTTTATACTGAGGCTATATTTATAAGAGATGCAAAATATTCAAAACCACTTCTGATTCTACAGTACCTAAATGGTTATATACAGTATATGATCTATCACTAGAAATTCTCAAAAAACATATCATGCCTTCTTATAGACACCCAGTAGGCCCTGTACGAAGTGTCTCAGGTGACCATTTTCTATTTAGATGTTGACATAATTACAGTGAATATTATACTATATACACAATCAAAAAAACTAGCATGCATGAAACAGAGACGAGACCTTCTGTTGTACATCGTGAATCAGATCTTCGGACACCTGGCCTTCCTTTCTCTTAGCTTTACGGATGTACTGGTTCTGGGTCTCTCTCAGCTGATCTTTGCATCGATTATACAAAGTTTTTGCATTTTTTGCTAAATTTTCTCTATGCTCCTTTGTAACTCTGGAAAAAAAAGAGTTGGTTTTCATCTCTCTGCTGTCAAGATTACTTAAGATGAAATTCTTTTCTTAGGTTTACACAGAACAGTCACTACTAAGTGGCAACATATTCTGGATCATCAGAAGAATCTCCATCCCAGCTTATTTCAATAAAGATTAACCACCCTAACACTATTTTGGGGGGATGAAGTTAGATTTGGTTAAATTTAAGGTAAAATAAATTGGGGTGAAGATTCTTCAGGTGATCCCATATTTCTTATCAAAACAAAGAACTACAAGTGGGTACGTCACTTGTCCAAGCTGAAAACTGTGCTAAACTCTCTACAGTATAGTATCTCACTAAGTCATCCCTGAGCCAACCTTGGCCACCTCACAAAACTCACTCCTTGTGTTCCACTGGAGACCAACTGTTAGAAATCTTGACCAGGAAAGACCCTCCACTTTTCCCTCTTCAATAAAAACCAGCTTTAGGTAATGTGACAATAACCCACTTAACATTGTAGCTTGATGTGTTCCCCAAAAGTACAGTGTTATGTGAAACTACATTAAAAAATATCCCATAGCTTCCTATGTGACAGAATTGAGCCAAGATCCAGACAAAAAATGAAAAGGTCACATATTATGACTTAGTGACAAAATGTGGTTGTGGGAGTTGTGGGGATAATAAGGGGGCTATGGGTCAGCTATGGAGCCTCAAGTTTTTTCAAGCTGCTGCATAATAGTGAATCATGCACTATGTTATATTTTCCCTTGAATCATGCTCTCACTGACCATCACCACGACCTCATCTGCAAATTTGGTGGGAAGCTTCTGCACCATCCTCGACACCGGCTCCTACTACCACCTGAGATCCCTCGTCCAAGAATTGCTGTTGGACACCACAACCGCATGCAGCTCATACGAGCACGAACTGATCGCTATAAGAACAGCCCAGTCCCAACCATTGTAAAAAATTATCAATAACTTGTAATCAACCAGTGTATTCACTCCCAGTCAATTTTACTTTTTGCACTGTCACTATGTTGAAATGCCCTGTAGTTTGAGCTTCTCCCCCCACCTAGTTATTATATATCATATTTGTATCACTTATGTTACTTGTATATTATTTGTATATAAAGAGACCCATTCCCCAATTACGTAACTGTATATTTTCAGCCTTCCAGCTACCATGCTCTTTCAATAAACCATTAATAATAATAATTATTATTATTATTATTATTATTGTTATTATTATTATTATGTTCCCTTGAATCATGCACTATGTTATATGTTCCCTTATTTATCAAATATGGTCACAAAAAAAGTATGATAAATATAGCTACATTAAAATAAAACAATTCCATTATCTTAAATACTGTATAGTAATAATCCTGAAAGCATCATGAAGATTATTGGTCATGAACTCTAAGGTAAAACAATTCAAAACACCCAACAGAACTAACAGATGGAACAATTAAAAAAAAAACAGAACCAACAGGAGGAACATATCAAAACACCCAACAGAGTTAACCAGCAGATGGTGTGGTGAGCTATCTTTGGTAGAGCCCAGCTGCTAAGAGGAGGTGGCCAGAATGTATTTGTTGTCCACTTGTTGATCTTAAGTGTGGAGTAAATACGACCAGGTCATAAGCATTGTTAAGAGTCCACAACGATAAGTAGAGTTCCTTACTGGGTGTGTTATTAATCCAAGTATCCATGTATGTAATCTCCTCAGTTGCATGGGCGTATGGAGTGAACAAGTGTATGAGGGTCGCCACTTTACTTGTCAGAGAATGTACAAAGTAGCCCAAGGAGGCTATTTGTCCGGATGCTATTGAAGTATGAATGTGGTGCTATTACTAAGAGTCCTCTTAGTAAGTAAGTAAGCTAAATTCTCAAGTAACCTGTAAGGGTGGTGCTCGAGTATGATACATGTAAGACTATAATGTGTGTCATTATAAAGTAAGCCAAGTAATAGTGGATGTTGAAAGGTGTAACTAATTGAGAAGAACAAATTGAGTGAAACCATGGAAATGATCCTTGTAGTTTTGTATAATTGAAAGTAGTCATAAACCTAACTTCATTTTAATAAACCATTTTCATTATATGTTGGAGGTATCATTATTCGAGCAATATTTTACCTTGTTTCTCCCCACATCTTGGTACCATTAATTACAGTCAACCCCCGTGTCCTAACCCTCGAGCCATGCAACCACAGACAAGAGGTTAGGGGGTAGCTATGAGAAGTGAAGTAACTTAGAAATATTTAATATAAGAAATTAATAAAATAAGAAATAGAAAGAAAGAAAGTTTGAGAGAACCAATTACAAAATAAAAAAATTTAGAGAGAAAAGTAGTGGGATAGAGAATAAATAAAATTTAATTAAACTAGAAAAGAATCTCCTATAGTGGAACAATTTAAAACACTCAACAGAACTAACAGGTGGAACAATTCAAAACACCCAACAAAACTATCAGGTGGAACAATTTAAAACACTCAACAGAACTAACAGGTGGAACAATTTAAAACACTCAACAGAACTAACAGGTGGAACAATTTAAAACCCCCAACAAAACTAACAGGTGGAACAATTTAAAAACCCCAACAGAACTAAAAGGCTTTACACTTCTATAAGGTATACACAACAATGTCAAAAAATATAAGGTAACCAATAGCACATGGTGTGTGTATGGTAGACAGGATATTGGCCACTTCATTACAGTATTAGGGAGTCTATTGCTCTGGTCATACCCTAACTTACTGCTTCTTATAACACACTAGAAAATTAAAAGTTAAGTGTAGTATATATTTTGTGACTGGTCAAATAGGTTCCAGTCCTAAAATGCCTTAACCTAACCGGAGAGATATTCATTCGGCCAAAAATAACTTGGGGTAACCTGGAAGAATATAATTGAAATCCTCGTGAGGTTTATTGACCACAGGCCTATTGTAAGGTAATGTACTATTTTTTATGATATTATTATTGTAATGATATTCCTGAAGAAGTTAACTTAATCTACACCTAGAGCTAACATAGATGATCCATGGGTAGTTGTGTCTATTGATGATGGACACACACATATTCCTCTGTTAAGTGTTCCTTAGGTAACGCAAGAACTTACTTAGGAAGAGGAACGTATAGTGTCGTTCCCTCCTGCTGTGGGTTAAGATTCATTCCTGCCTCCTGGATGGCTTTGATGATCCCAGTTAAAGCTTGGGGGAAGGCCGATGCATTGATGACCAACATGTGTGAAGACTTGCGGGACACCTGTGCAACTTCATTCAGAGGATACTCGTCCCCCTCCAGTTGTACGGAAAGATTTTCAATACTGCCTAGTGTAAAAAATGAAGAAGAAATATAAATAATTAACTTCATTAACTAATTTTCAATAGAATAAATAAAAATAATTATCATCATTCACTAACTTTCAACGGAAGAAGAAATAAAAGTCATTTCCTTTATCCACCAAATTTCAATACTTGTACATTTTTTCCTGTTCAAACGAGGGGAAAATGCACAGTAACCTACCTCTAAAGTTAAAATCCGCTCATACATCTTCATACTTTCCTCTATACTAAAGCCTTTCTCATTCACACATTCCCTCATCTATCTTCATACCTTATTCTTGAAGATCTTATTTCTCATGTGAACTTTTTAGCAAGCTTTCATAAACAAATCTCCGAAGGGATAAAACACCGAGTTGGGGAATAATATAACAATCTATGGAAAAAAAACAGAAGACTAATCATGAATACCCAATTTTATGGAGAAATGAGAAACACAGTGGTTCTCATATTACTATTTTCTTGTACTATGGGAAATTGTTGTCCTGAGAGATAGAAGTGTGGATGTCCCTTATCTGAGAGACAAACTGGCTCACTCCTAGTACAGTATTCTCCTGAAGACTCAACCAATGGACATCTTGCCTTGGAGAGAAATGAACTCTAAATGCTCACTAAAAACCAAACCTTACCTACATTATGACCCCTTTTTATGTTCCTATCCATACTGCTCTTATAGATGGGTTCAAACTAATCCATTCATCTAAATACATCACACAGAAAATTACTTTGTCTTACAGTAAATGGTGTATAAAAAAAATGAAAACCTGGTGAAGATTCTTGGAGCCACATACAACCCAAAAGGAAGTAGCTTGAACTAGTAATGGATTTCATTAAAACCAAAAGGTAAAAACTTTTTAAATTGTCTATGAATAGGAACATGTTGGACGGCAGCCTTGAGGTCAAAATAGGTTGAGCAAAAATTCCTCTTTAAGCTTTGTCTCACCTGCTTAAAAGAGGCTGTCCTAAACTAACTTCTAGGCCTACAGGGAAGGTACACACTATATGCAAGTGTTTACAGTAACAAGAAAGCACTTAGTTGTCGAATATGCCAGACCAGGTGAACAGAACAGAACCACCCTGGATCTGAAGCACATGATCCTGATGATGTCATTTTATACCTATACCTATGTCAACAAGTGAGAACAAGTGAGAGGATTCGAGTATACAGTACCGTTAGTGTTTATGCTCGGCAGTAAAGACTCTTCATCCGTTTTCAGTAAGAAGGTGAACGATTATCTAATATTTTACTTGAACTGATTATATTACATTCTAAACACACAAGTTGGGGCCCCGGAGCCTAGTGATTTAACTAGCTACACAGAGTTGTTCCTGACAGATGGTTATAATAACTACACTCTCCTAACACACCTGCAGAAGTTCTAAGAGAGAGGTTCTTGATATAATCTTGTTTGAGGTTTTCCACCGTTTCTGAAAACTGGTTTCGCATATGTGTGACGTTCAACACTTCGGACATCTCCTCATCGGACAAGTGGACTTTTGTTTTCTTATCTGCAAGACAATAAACAAAATGAACACAACCTGAGACTGGTTCACTAATTTGTTTGACTAAAAAAAAAAAAAAGAGGAAACACATACAGTGTACAACCTAACCAAACATAACCTGACCTGACCTGACCAAACCTAACCTCATTCCCCCAAATAGTGTTAGGGTGGTTAATCTTTAGGTGAAATAAGCTGGGATGGCAATTCTTCAGGTGTTTCAACAAAAATTTATACATCTTGTAAAGATAAGAAGATAAATACAATAATATTAAAGTACAGTATAGATAGTCCTCGCTTATTACAAATTTTCATACAGTATGAAAAATTTTAATTTGTAATAAGCGGGGTCTACCTGAACTATACTTTAATATTATTATATTTATCTTTTCATCTTTCCAAAATTGTTACTTATGTTACTTAAGTAACATTGGCAAAATGTTACTCGAGTAGAAGTAAGAGTATCCAAAGTTCAATGTACTCAAGTAGAATTAAAAAAGTATCTCATTCATAAAGTACTCAAGTACTGAGAGCAAAAGTAACAACAAAATTATTAATTGTCTCAAATATTAAAATAAATCCACAGTAAGTTATAAAAACCAGTTAACTAAAGATAAAAATAAAAGACACAGCATTACACATGTTTATTTGCAAATCTTTCTATTGAGATTAATCAATAACTGATTCTAAATTATGACTGTCCCATCAGGATCTTTTAGGCCTAAATATAAGCCCAGCATGACCTACCAAAAGAGAATACCTTCAGCCGCTCTTCTCCCTACAATCCATAGCAGGGATAGTGAACTGGCTGAAAATATATCCATCCAACACTATGATCACTTTCTTCCTTATCCGCACAAGTATCGTCAATGTGGACTTATGGTCCGCAAACATAATGTTGTCTCTGCTTGCATTAGATTAGCATACAGACCTATCTGGCAGGTATCTGAGGTGGGGGATGACCCTCACTTCTTTTCCTGTAAACTCTGTAACAAACTGTCCCAACACCAACAGTCTTCAACACTATTGCCTTGACTGTCCCACTGTCAGGGACCTCCTACCACAGGACGAGTCACTAAACGCTATATGTCACCATGTACTTATTCGTAATAATTTAGATTTAATTCTTGTATGCTATCCACGCTTTGGTGGGTGCTGACTCCTATTGTCCTTAAATCATAACAATATTATCTTCATAGCATGTCATAGCGTGTCCTGCGACAAGTATCAATGTATTAGTGTCTGACAACATGGTCTTGTGACTAGGCTTGTCGCTCCGAGGTGTAATAAATTAATTAAACAGTAAATAATAAGCCCAGCAAGACTAAACAGACGCTCACAAGCAGCAGATGCAGGTCGTGGGATGTTAAGCTTGAGATATAAGTCACATAACGTCAGGAAAGACCTCAGTAGCTCCATTCCATCCTCAGGGCATGCCAAGTAGCTATCAAGCTCCTTCACTTGGGGAGCTTGTGGAAGAATGTTGCCTCCATAGTGGCTGAGTCTGACTAAGACTCACTGTGAACTGTCCCTCTAATTGGGATGTGGCTGTGTGATGTCACTTTTCAATTGTAACAGACAAGTGGCTGAAGGTTTTGCACCATGTAACATCTGGAAGGTGCTGGGGAGGGGGGGGGTGGTACTTAGTTATTTTAGCAGAATTTTAAACACACTCAGTCTTACACATATGTATAGATATATACAGATATCTAAGATAGAATTATGCAAATCATTTTAGAATCACAGCCTCTTTGTAATTCATTTTAGGTACAGGTATATGAAAAGAGCAACTGACATCTAACAGGAAGACCAAGCCCCAGAAGGAAAGGTGGGAGTGAAGAGAAGGTATTCGATGGGGGAGGAGGGGGTGGGGGGGGTTAGGGAGAAGGCTAGGTGAGGTGGGTGATGAAGGTGCTCATGGACAAAAGAACACAAGATGATCAAAGGGAAAGTTGGCTGTCACGGCCACTGCCACCTGACCTCACGTGACCTCTAGGTATGTGACCGAGTGGTGTCTACCCACACCCACACCATACCCTTCACGGCTCCACCCACACAACTCTTTTACTATGGTTAATAATTAATTAATTAATTAAAAATATATTAGTTTGCATGCAACGAGTAATGATAGTTTGTCAATTGTATTGGGGTAAAGGTATTAGAAAACCATACTGTACTTAAGTAAAAGTACTAAAAAATTGGAATACTTTTTAAAAAGTAAATACTGTACCCAAAATGTTACTTGAGTACAGTACTCAAGAAAATATATATGACCATGAAGCAGATGACAGATATTGTCAAGTGTTTAGGGAACTTTATTTGCATCTATACATACAAGTACAGTACTGTATATACTGTAGCTACCAGCACTTACCTTTGCTTTTCTTATCTTTGCTCTTGGCATAATTTCTCTTCTGACACAGAGTGACAGAAGGAGCTGCAAGAAAAGTTGGGTACAAAGATCTAGGAGGTGAAGGCACGTTGAGGTACTTCATAGCAGCAGAACCCGAGAGGTTTCGGTACGAGACCGATGACAACATCTTCCAAACAGACCAAGTGGTGGGCAGCATGAGTCTCACTCTGCCCGCTGCCGCTGATCCTGACAGAGCCATTGTGAGTCCAAGGCTGCAGGGAATAACAATTAATGATGAAAGTTGAAGCAGAATGACAGAGCTAATACATGACTGTGAGGGTGAGTTTGGAGAAATGTTTGTTGTATGTAAATGTTGTTAATGTGTACTAATATCACTTACTGGTTGGTACAAGGCCACATCCTAGTCAAACCTTAAACCAACCAGTGTGCTATCTCTAATATTGAATTAGTGTACAGATATATCTGCTATAATTTTTAATGTAAGAAGTTAGAAGTAATTATAAAAGGAGTAATGGAATAAAAGTTAATAATACATTAATACAGTGTACTCAGTAAGGCGATACAGTGAAACCTCCATATAACGGACCCCTGATATAACAGACTTACATCTTTACATAGTTCGTTAGATGGAGGTTTCGTATTTAACAGACCCTTGATATAAGAGGACATTCATCTCTACAAGGTTCATTAGATGGTTTGAAATAAAATAAATCAATAAAGAAGAGACTGAGTGAAAAGCTGTGTATGGTCAATATATATTACAGTATTTTACTGGTCAGAAGTACAGACACTCTCAGTAAACACCAGAGGGTAGCTAATAGCTTTTTAATAAATTATTCTTTCTTATGCTAGGTATAATAATAATAATAATAATAATAATAATAATAATAATAATAATAATAATATCTCAAAACAGAACAATGACACTTATTAATAACAGTCAGCTGGCAATACACATGAACCAGCTAGGTCTTTTTTTTTTACGGAAATTAGCCCACCCGGGCACAGGTCGAATGACCCACAACAGGGCCTAGGGGGCGAAAAAATAAGAATGAAAAGAAAAAAAAAAGAAAAAAGAAAAAGGTTATATTAACCTACACCACGAAGATGCTGGAAAACCAGCTTTTTAAAGTGAGACAGATTGTATGAGTATGGAAACACAGAAGAAGGCAGAGCATTCCACAGTTTGGCTGTGTGAGGAAAGGAGGTACTATAACGGGTTATTATAGTGTGACCGACATCCACAATGAAACGGTGGGCGCCGCGGGCAAGACGTGCATTACGAGCCCACGGCCTTGCCGGAGGTACTTAGGATGCCAAATCCTACCTAACCTAGGATAAAATCTTACTATAATTTCTTTTAGGTTACTGTAAAGTTCATGTGGGCAAATGACAAAAACAATTTGTTCATTTATAGGCCAGTGCGCACAAAATAATAACAATAATAAAGGACCATAAATAAATCCAAACATTATTAAAAAAAAAAGATCAATAGAGAGAAATGATATATGTATGTTATGTTGTCAAAGTAAGATAAACAATTGAGACCCTGCAACTGTGAGTAAATGAGGCAGAAAGTCAGATCAGCAACCTGGGACTTGGTCACAATTTTTGTGATGCCATATAGCAGCAGGGTCTACCATTAGACAACACATTATGCTTCCAATATCTTCCCAGGCGGTAGTACCTCCCTGTTTGATAGTTGCCAACTACCTACTACTACAGGATTACCAGATATTTTTTTGTTATGTGGCTGGATAGCCCAGGTGGCTTTCCTTAATTATTACCCAAAAATTCTCCGAGTAACCTAACAGATGGTTCTCTTTTATTTTTTGTATATCTAGACAACGAATACATTGAAGAAGTAATATGGAATATTAAACCTATTATTATTAAAAAGGCAGTGGATTTCTTTCTGTGACCGGTCCATTACCAGCAAACAACACAAGAACTATATTGGACCATGACTATGGCGGCATTTGTCATTTATTTTGCCATGAGTCGATCCTTGTGTGGCTGTCAACATACCTAACCAAGGACACTTCAGATTATAAAAGAGGCGACATTTACTAGAACCTAATACTGTAGAACCTGACCAACCAACCAAACTTACCTACCTTACCTAACTTCCCTCGCCGGGGGTCAGACACCTCGTCATATTAAACAGAAAGTCCTTAGCCAATCAAAGCACACTCACGGTAAAATAGCGTTAGTAGGAACTTAGCCAGTCACGGCAAAATATCCACTACGAATTAAAATTGACTACACTGAGTCACTGAATATTGAGTTGAGATGCACAAGAGTTTGTTTTTCTGTGTACTCATTGTCTAGTCTCCCTCTTCACCTAAATTCATTCTGGACTTTGACAATACCATAAAAACAACCTTGCTATTCCTCTAAACGTTCTACTGTTAGTATTTTCCGGTTCACTGATAATATCCTTAGTTAAACCACCTCTTTAAATCAGTGCCTTCATCCACCGGCAGATTCCTACCCAAGAGACAGATATAATTTTTGGTATTATTAATTTTTCTGTAAATTCAGTAGCATCCTATTATAATTGATAAGACAAAAACATTAAAAACAACGAACATGAAAGTGAAATAGAAGACTGAGAAGACTTACTATAGAGAGCACTCCTCCCTCAGGTGGGCGGCGCGGCTCTACCTTCCACTCCACGATTTGGCTTAAAATTTTGGGAATATTAGACAAAATTGATTTAATATAGAACAAAGTTTAGTTAATTTGAATGTTAATATCAATCTACTTAAGTTTTATTAAATTTTCAGGTAAATCTAGTTATATGAAAAGACTTTAAACCTTCCTTCCCATTTCTCTTCGCAATGAACTTAAAAAAAAAGAACTCTAATTTCATTATGCAGATGCATTATTTTACTCATAATTTTAATATAAATTAACTTATATGAATAATAAAGAGTAAATATTATTGCAAAAACTACCTCGTAACGATCTTCAAAAGTGAGGTACTTGCCAACAGTGAGTAACAGAGACGTGACTGATCGCCCAAGCAGCTAACGAGCCCATCAGTGGTGAAGAGGATAAAAGTAAAAGTAAGTTTGTGTTTACCCAGAGATGTCTTGGTTTCCTGTAAGTGGTCTCTGTATAATCACAATACTTCCTCTTATTCCCTTTGTAATATACCTTTACATTTGTATGCCATGTTCAGATGTCATTCTGCTATGAAGTGCTAATCAATATCATTATTTCTTATTACTTATATTTATTATTATTACTGCCATCCTTATTAGTTGTATTAACACTATTCTATTGAAGAGGAACGTACTGATTGGTTTTCGCGTCAGTGTACTACGTCATATCTTGCGCTGTGGTAAGTTTATCTATCCGGTAGGAGGAAGCCGAGCCCTGACAGTACAGTTCTGGCACCGGGATGTGGAGGGTTGTCTCTGTGTTTGCTGGGCTGGTATGGGCCTTGTCCCTAGTTGCTGCTGGACATGTCACACAAGTTCACTCTCTCGATGACGATAGTTTGTCTTGTCCACTGTTGGAACCAGATCACATCCCTAACCTTCCTCTATACGTAGGCCTTCAGCCACTCCAAAAAGGATGGAGATTTGAGTTCAACAACGAAGCTGACAAAATAAAAACTTTCAAATTCTTCCTTGGGGAATCTGAAGGAAAGATTTCTGGAAATATGACGACTGGAAAATATGGTGAAGCAGTAGGAAAGTTCTCGTGGCCCGGGGATTCCTTTCCACAGGGCGAGTGGAGGTACTTCTTGATAGATCGAGAAGACAAGAATTATGTACGGGTGTACTACACACAGTTGTTTAATGGGGGAAAGCTGCCCCATCATCAGGTGTGGAAACAAGGCCTTACTGGTAAACAAAGTTTTGTTAATCTTAAAGAAACAAATTTACATTTCAACTGTATGAGAGGTTGTCGTATCGAGGTGAAAAGGGGCTCTTTCGAAATTCTTAGTGACATAGAGTATTACTTACTGGCTGTTGAACCACCCTGCGAGATCTGTTCAAAAGATCATCCAGACAATTGTTCCAGCTTGCTAGATGTGACATGGAAAAAGTTTCCCGGTCAGGAATATAAATTCCCCAACAATTCCTCAGTGTTGACACTCAACAGCACCATACTGGTGAGTGAAGAATGTGACCCGCAACCACCAGTCATTACTCAGGTGTCCACAATGATGACCAGTACAGGTGAGGCAGAAGCCGTCGCCGCCACCACCACTACCACCAACCATCAAGTAACCGCTGGGACAACCAACCTTCTGCCTGACAGCACCTCTGTGTATCTACAGGACAACAACAACACCCGTACATCTCCAGGAAACACTGAGAGAACTTTTCTATCTCCTGAAACCACTTCTCTCGCATCAACCATCCACGAAGACAATTTAGTGACCACTTATGAGATTCCCTTTACTAGTGACCTCGATGTTGAAACTTCTACTGATGTCTCTGATATTGAGGACTTCGTTCTTGTATACAGCACCGTGGAGGAAGTTGGCACTGAGGTCTCTACTGACGAGAACTCCTCTACTGAAGAACGAGTTACACGACTTCCTTTCCCTCGCTCCACAACACGAAGCAACTCCAAGAATCTACAACAAGGAGAAGAGAAGAACAGGGTCTCATGGAAAAGCATTGTGTTTCCCATCGTTATCATCATGGCTATGGTAGCCATCATCACATATATCTCCATCTTCAAAAGACTTCGCCAGAGAAACAACTACACATGCATTGTACCGAGTAGCGGGGAGTCGGTGGAATTGGGGAAGACTTAGAATTGAGACTTAACTTAAACTTTGACTATATGAAGCCACAGATAAGAGCTGTTGAGAGGTTAGTTCGGGTGTTATTAACAACTAACACCTAAGAGAAAATTTTAAAGTCAAAGAACAAAATCTTTTACTAAACACACCTTTTATTTGGCGTTTTAAGTCTATGTGGAATATTCTCCTGGCATATCCAGGTTAGTTAACTCAGCAGCTTTTATGATAAAGTTTTTGTACTAAGAACTTTTCTGTCGTCACTGAATTAAAAATTAAGTTGATAATAATAACATATAGTTTTCTCTAACCCATTGTTTACAAGTTCATTATGTCTTGATCACCTTTATTGTTGATGCACTTTATAGAAGATAATTGTCAAGGTTAGGATATCTTCAGTGTACTGTATGTTAGTAATGATTTATTAGTATTACAGAGGTGAGGCCTGACCTAACCTAACTTAACTTAACCTAAGCATCAATAGGACAAATACTACTGTGTTTAGCCATGATTTAATCTTATGTCCATAACTTAAGTAATTTCTTCTGTAATACTCTAAAAATATTTGTAATTTTCTTGTGTTTGCTGCTGAAAATACGTTACTTCACTTTTATTTCCTTATAGTTTACCATTTTATTAACATCAGCAAGTGTTTTATTACAATATTATACTTACATGCAATATCTTTATTATATTATGGTATAATTTCCCTCAGAACTAGTATTTTTAGTTATAATTAGTATACAATTGTTATTTTATTACATATACGAGGTAGAAAATAATACAAGACTACATCACTATAATACAAACACTTATTTCACTCATGTAACTTTCCGAATATAACAATAAATTATATAATATATGAACCAATCTATTCAATTATATCCAAGACTTGATGATAGTCATGTAAGTTATAAAAAATGAGTTGGATTCATGAGACGATACAAATTTATTATCGAGACTAATAAATTCTTAAATAAACACAGTTAAAGTTTGATGTTTATATTACCAACACTACTATTACCAAGAGAGAGAGAGAGAGAGGGAGAGAAAGAGAGAAGGGAAGAGGAGAGGAGAGAGAGAGAGAGAGATAGAGAGAGATATCACACAGCAGTACCGTGGAAGTACGTGGATGACTGCACTGTGGGGGTTTCAGTGGACAACACCGCACCAGACTACTCATCGCTCCAAAGCACCCTGGACTGGCTACAGGCATGGACTACGGAGAACAAGGTCACCATCAACCACACCAAAACCGTAGTCATGCACATCAATACCGCCACCACTCCAGTGCAAGCCCCAGCAGTCACAGTGGGTGCCCATCCTCTCCAGCTGGTGCAGTCTGCCAAACTCCTGGGTGTAACTATAGACAACAAACTTGACTGGAAGGCCCATGTAAATAACACAGCCAAGGCAGCCTCGTACCGTCTCTACATGCTACGAAGACTTAGGTCACTTGGGACATCCACGCCAGAGCTGAGGACCATCAACGCCTTTATTCTCCCCAAACTAACGTATGCGTCACCAGCCTGGTCGTCTTCTCTCAACTCCACCCAACAACGTCAGCTAGAGAAGGTACAGAAAAGGGCCTGCAGAATCATGCTCGGCGCAGAATAATCCGGCTACACCAACGCTCTCTCCACCCTGGAAATGCCATCCCTCAGTGACCTCCACCACCAAGCATTGGAAAGGTTTGGCCGTGGACTACTGCACCACCCTCGCCATCGCCACCTCCTGCCACCTGCAGCCCCCCACCCAACTCGCGCAGTCCGCCACTACAACAAAATTCAGCCCATAAGAGCCCGCACCGATAGATATAAGAACAGCACCATCCCATCTATTGTTAAAATAATAAACAACTCCTGATTTATGTATTGCACAGCCCTATAAATGTATTCAATGCATATTATATCATTATGACTAAATTAAATGTAAGTCTGTATATTTTCAGCCACCGGCTGCAACTCTATTAATAAACCGTTTATTATTATTATTATTATTATTATTAAAAGAAAATAACATCAAGATCTTCCTGTTGACGATTCGAATCACCCGCGTCGCTTCCTCCCAGATATTAAGATTCATTATCTTTGTTTTCTTCCTCATCACCACAGGAAGTGAGATATATTTACATCATTGTCATTCTTGTGGTAGTCGAGTCGCGGTGTAATTGTGACGCCATCCATCATCACTATTTTGTAGAACCTTAAAAACTTCGATAATGTCATCTGTTTTTTGTGTGTCCTTTTTGTAGTCTAAAGTTTTTATTTTTTTCTGTTAATTCAACCAAATTATTTACGGTCAGCCGAACGCTCAGACAACACTCAGGCAACATTCAGGCAACACTCAAGCAACACTCAGACAACACTCAGCTTTCCTTGAGTCATGATTGTAGTTCTAAATAATTCTTGTTTCTTAATTGTGGTTATTGTTGATAATATAGAATATATTTACTGGAAATCCACCAACTTCTTTGAGATAATGGTTTCTGAAGAACAGGTTGAGAGAGAGAGGAAGAGGAAGGGGCGGGTGGGTAGATATTAGTACATATTGAAAATAAGAATCTGCATCCTGTGTCGGTAAGGAAAACATTATTTTTACTCTCTCTTTCTCTCAATTAAATCAACAAAATGACAAACACAAAAGGACGTATCTTATAGAAACATTCAGAATTTTGACTGATGGAAAACGTAAAGAAGGGCCGTTTTCTTTCATGTTG